TGTAGTTCATATTTTCCAGCCCTTTCTTCTCCTTGCACTTGGCTCTGATTCTTTTCTCAACCATTGCTTTAGCTCTTTGAACCTGGTTAAGTATCCCATCTTTGCAAATCCCTACTTCCTGTGTTGATATTACATGTATACCATGTCTGCAAGCAAAGCCATATGACCCAGGAGCTCCACTCCCAGGAATATAACCAAAAGAATTGGAAGTGGGGACTTGAATAGATCTCTGTATACTAATGTCCATAGCAGCACTATTCACAACAGCCAAAAGGTGGAAACAACCCAAATACCTGTCAACTGATAAGTAGATAAGCAAAATGTGGTATATATACACAGTAGAATATTATTTAGTATTTTTCAGTCATAAAAACGAATTAAATTCTGAAACATAGATGAACTATGAAGACATTTTGCTTAGTGAAATAAACCAGACACAAACAGGCAAATATACTATGAATACAAGATTTATACAGGACAAATGCTCATGTAAAATATCTAGAATACATAAATTCACAGAGACAAAAGGCAGAATAAAGGGTACTGGGAGGTGAGGAAGGGGGAGTGAGGAGTCATTTAATGGGAACAGAGTTTATGTTGGGGATGACAGAAACATTTTAGGTATAAATAGTGGTGATGCATGTTCAGCATTGTGAATATAACTAATGCAACTGTCTTGTACATTTATAAATGGTTAAAATGATAAATGTTACATGTTTTTTACTATAATTTAAAAAATGAACAGAAAAATATCTACTTCCAGCACAGTATGAGTCACTGTGAATAGACTTTCTTCTTCCACTGCCCTTCACCCACTTTGCCTCTCAGTACATCTGTGGACAGTAGTTGGCACCTAAAAATGATCAGATATGAAGAACAGATGAGCTCACATATGGAGACAAGTGACTTCGCTACTTTAAGCAGAGTTTATTCAACACTTGCCAGGAAGAGTCAAAGCCTAGGTTTTGTAAAAAGACTGAGAGAAGCATTTGAAAAGGTGGAAGGCACCTTCGTATGCCAAAAAGTGGGAACACTGAGCTCATGCCTCTGCCCTACATCTATTCCTCAAGCTTCTTTCTTGGATCAGCATGATTGTAAGAGAAACCTCAGCTTCAAGCAGCCATTCTGTCCCTGGCATACTTACATCCCCAAGAGGGCAGTGTCTCTGGAATTCGTCCAAGACTAAAATGGATTTTTAGGGATCAAAGACTTAATTCACATGGAAAGCAAGGTTTACAGCTGGGTAGAATTACTGTTTAGTGCTTTTTTCCTCCTTTCTGTAATTTATTTCTAACGTGTTAGAAAACTCTAGAGAAAAAAAAATGAATGTGGCTTTTTTTCAATTAGGACCTACTCTGGTGAAATTTTCATTATATTCCCCAAGCCTCAAAATTAAAAAGACACCATGAGTACTAATTGAAATATCCCTCAATTTTCTAAATAATTCCTTTAAGGTGTACTCTGCAATTTTTATTGTGTCACTAAGCTTAAAATTCATTTTCTAGAGAGGTAAATGGTAGTGTCAGACAAAGATTGACACTCCATCTTGTGCATGAAAAATAAAAGCACAGAAAGAACACTAGCACCCTGCTTTGGTTTGCTTGTGCAAGAGACAGGAATAGCTCCAATATCTCCTGCCTTTTGAAATCCAGGCTTCTTTTCCAAAAACCATTTTGAACACATGCAATGCAAGAATTAAGACCAGGTTTCCTAGTCAGAGTCAAAGTGACAAGTCAGCAGTATGAGTGGTTCTGAGAGGTAAGAGTTAAAGGACTTAGAAATCAGAATTTCCAGGTCTAGGAGAGCCATTTTTATGCCTTAATCTTTCAGGCTATGTATGTATGTCACCCACCAGCCTGAGCTGTGCTGAGATGTTATCTTGGGCAAAGGTCTGCTAGGCAATAAGGAGTCAAAACCTAAGACTAAGTGAGCTGCCTCTTGCCTTGAGTGGTTGGTAGTTCTAATGATGATGTCCAAAATAACACAGAAGCCTTGGATATGTAAGAATATCCACACAGAAGAAGTGCAACTCAGTGAATAGGGTACCATGGCCAGACATCCTGGCCAGATTTTACACTGTAGTGCAGGGAAGTGGTATCCTGGATATCGGCGTATATCTAAGGGTAGTCATCTCCAGTGTGGTGGAGAGAGACAAACACAATAGTTGAGAAAGCTATTCCAATGAGGGCCTAATTTAGGAGAAGAAACAGCAAACCAGATTAGATACACAAACTAGACACCCAGAGTGACAGTTTAGGTATCATTTGGGAACACTTCTGCTTACAAGTAACAGAAAACAAATAACAGTGCCTTAAACTTTAAGAATGTTTATTTGCCAAATAAAGTGTCTAGAGATAATCAGTCTTAGGATTCCTCAAGTAGCTAGACAATGTCATTGCTTTTTTTTTCATTCTTACACCCTGCCATTCTTCAGCATGTTGGCTTTTTATCTTGCACGTTATCTAATGACCCCAAAATGGTTGTCATAGTAGTATCATATCATCACATAACCCACAGGCAGAAAATGCGGAAAGTATTTCTCTGAAGAGTGCTTCTTATATCCCTCCAGCCAGAGCTATGTCACATGACTGCCCATAATAGCAAATAGTATTGACCTTTCCATTTCTCTAATGCACAGGAGGCCATAGTATGGCATGGAGGCTGAGGTTGATACGAAATCCAGGGTCCAGGGTATTCCATCAAGTATCACACACACCAAACTTGGACAACCACACGAATTCTAGTGGGGATGGGATTTGTAATACACTTATTTCCAAGTGGGGATGGGGTTTGTAAGACACTTATTTAGATAGCGCAGGGTTTGTGTGGGGCTAAGCATTTATTGAAGGTATTTAACAAAACAAATGTTTTTGGAAAAATCTTCATATCCTAACAAGTGTGTATGAAATGCTCTCTTCTTTGAGAAATAAACTTATCATTACACTTTTCTAGGAGCCTACCTGCCATTACCAACTGTCTAGCTTTGTATTGACATCAGAAACTTCCAGGGCTGTCTTGGCCCCGTTTATAGTAAAGTACCATAGGTCATGGAGGCATTTAGGGGAGGAGTGACAGTATCTTTCTGGGCTGTCCATTTCCCTCCCAGTGAAAAGAATGTTGAGTAAAATTACCCCTTCAGACTCTGGTCTCCTCAGATACACTATGGGATGTCAAGGCCTCAAACTGCTTCCTGATGGGCTTTCTTGGTCTCTTGGCAACTGAGCGTTCTGATAAAGCCAGAAAAAGCCTCTCCTGACAGATACAATTCCAAATCACAGCAGCTGTAACTGGAGGCAACAGTGATACCTAACATTTGTGTAGCTTTTCTTATGAGCCAGAAACATGTTCAATGCCTTTTCTAGGCCCAACTCATTCATTCCTCAGAAAAACCATGTGAGGAGTTGCTGTTAGCATCACCCCTCTTCCCAGATGAGGAAACCCAAGCACCAACAAGTTAATGAACTTGCTTAAGATCACATAACTAGTAAGTGGCAAAGCAAAGAATTGAAGCTGTGCCGCCTGGCCCCAGAAACTATGATCCTAACCACTAAACTCCCTCCAAGGAAATACTGCAGTGCTTTAACAAACATAAAAGGAAAAATACAGCTCACAAAGGCAGCCAAAAACATGTGGAAGAAGAAGAAAGGGTGGGTATTTCATTCATCCACTGGTACCCAGGTGTGGAGCCTTTACCCAGCACTGCCGGTAAAGTACTATAGGTCATAGAGGCATCTATTGGACTTTGAGAACCACAGAGTCTGGACAGCAGCATGCTACATTGATAAAAAGTACAAACAGAGGGTGTAAAATCTAAATATTTGTGAAAAAAGCAGTCGCCATAACTTTGCTACTCTGGGACAGGCAGTATCAGACATGGCATATTTTAGGATAGAGTTGTCACTTGGGTTACACTTAACTTTCCTACACAATGCAGTCTTTACCAACCTTTTAAAATATATAAACAACTCATTTCTTGCAGTTACTTTACAGAGATTTTATGGCTGCCTGCCTAATGCTGACATGAAATAGCTTTTGTCTTGACTGTTGGAGTCAATAGGCTTCAATATCTGAAACATAAAAGTTGATCCTATTGTTTTGACTGCTTTGTATTTTTTTTTTGTTTGTTTCTGAAGTGCCAAATATAGAAACCATTCTAAGAAGCCTTTTCATACATGCAGATTTCACTCAGAGATCCTTTTAAAGGTCGCTCGCTGCTTTGTAAGATACACTAATTCTGAGTTATGATATGAGAACTGTTCAATGAACCAGTGTTCTCAGGTTATAATGATGGAAGTGAATCTCCCCTTGGTTGTGGTAGATCTGACTCTGTCAAGGGGAATACAAAAACTTCAAAAGCTCAGAAGTAATATTTAGTCTCTGGGCTAGGGGCCAGAGGGTTTGAAAGTTTTGTGAGGCCTTGGGTTTGAAACCTAGCACCAAAAAATTTTAACCTAACTCAAACATTTAGTTTGAATGATGTGTGAATCACAGGGCAGGTATACAATATACTCAGCCAAAGAGTGACTCTCTAATCAATGACATAATCCAATTCTGGGACAACCATTACCTCATCTTCTGCTGACTCACTTTAGTGACATACAATGTGTGACATTAATGACATATGTGATAAAGAATCACTTATTGTCCTAGTTCAAACTCTGATCATTTTTAACACTTGCCTATAAAACTGAGCAATATAGAAGACTGTTTCGCTTTGCTAAAGCGGTAATTGAAATTTAGTATGTAGGATACCATCCAAAACAATTTTGAAGTTCCTTCTAGCACAGAGCAGAAGGATGGCCTGCTGTAAGAAGCTGGGTCACATAGAATGGTGCCAGTTAAGGAAGAACCTTCAAAGGTGCAGGTACAGAGCTAACTCTCAAAATTGATCCTACACAAAAGTACCATATAAAGTGAGAAGATTCTGTCTGTCACCAGTTCCTCACTTCCTTTTCTTGACCTGGATCTCTTCCTCTCACCCTCCCACCTCTTTCTCTTACCTCTTATCTAGTGGAGAAGTCTCCTCTCTGATGAATCAGGCTGATCAGATTCATTCAGATGCTGCTCATGCAAACTCATAGAAACTGAACTGGTAGCAGCATTCCAAATTAAGAGCTCACAGCCAGAATGCAGTTTCCAGGTAGACCAGTGGATAATATGTTCCCTCACCACGAAACAGCACACTTAATGTAGAGCAGAGGACAAGTGCAGCAGTTAGGATAGGGTAACTTAGCCTGTGGGGCAGCTTCAAAACTTCAGTGGCTTATAACCGGAACAGTATTTCTCCTTCACACCTCAAATCTACCCCACCTCTGCTCTTTGCCAAATTCACTTAGGCCATTGAGGGAAAAAAAAATCACGAACCAGGGGAGGGGCATTGGAGGAAAGAAAGAGGGCAGGAAAAATTTGGGGGACAGTGATACAATTTGCCACAAGTGTTGAAATCTCAGAAGAACCCTGGGCTTAGAGTCAAAAACCTGGGTTCCCCTTACAGTTTCGCTGCCTAACCAACTCTCAATCTTAGACAAACACTTCCATTTGCTGAGCTTTACTTTCCCAATCAAGAAAAGAGTGATTGGACTTCATCACTCTCAAGGTAACTTCCAGGTCAAAGAATGTAGAGCAGAGAACCCCACCAGCTACAGTAAGGACCCTCTCACTAGCCAGAATCTGAAATACACTAAAAAGTTTTTCTCTAAAATCTCTTGACACACTGGGAGTGTAGCTCAGTCACAGAACTCTTGCCAGCATGTGTGAAGCCTGCATTCAATCCTCAGCACCAGAAAAACAAACAAACAACCCTTGTAATTCTATCAAAAGGTACTTAAATTGTGCTATAGGAAGCCTAGTGTAAGCTGGGCATACTGGCACATGTCTATAATCCCAACACTCAGGAGGCTGAGGCAGGAGGATTTCTGGGTATCTGAGGCCAATGTGAGCTACAAAATGGGTTCAAGGCTAGTCTGACCTATTTGGCAAGACCCTGTCTCTCAACCTCCTCACCCCCACCAAAAATCAGCTTGGTGCCTCAATTTAGGTTCTACATCTTCTATAGCACAAAACAATTTTAGTGACTCTGTTCTCAATTCTCCCATGGAAAGTTGATAATAAATACCATTCTAGAAATGAAATGGAAGTTGCAGGAAAGAATTTCATTTGTCACATACAATGGGTGCCTGTAGTGCACTGAGGTCTCATTCTGTCGTGGGGCCCACTCGAGAAAGACTGTAATTGCCCCTATGCCTTTTCTTTGGATTTGGAGGAACTCAACTCAAGTCTCCCGAAACCTAATCTAATCTATCACTTCCAGTGCAACCCAGGGTAAGAATAATGAGACAAACACTTATCTGCAGTTGTGGGGAGTCAAAAGGGTCCTAAGTCCAGTCAGAACAATGGCTAATCAGAACAAAGGCCTCGACTCAGGACTGAAGCTGCATTTTACTAATTTGTGAACAGGGGAGTGGCTCAGGGTTGAGTGACTGTGAGAATGGCGAGCAATATGTTGAATATTGTGAGCTGGGGCAGGTAGGAGGCACAATAGCAGCTCTGCAATATGCAGAGAGGTATGCAGAAAGGGCTGGGTTTCACTAACAGGTAGCCTCTAAGTTTGGAGGCATCTGCATAATAACATAGTTTGAGGAAGCATCTTGTGTTTTGGTCAGTTGCCTCAGCTATAATGTCTAGTCCTCATGCCACAAGACATCAGGGCCTCATTCTCGAGGTTCAGTCCTAGTCAACAGCAACAGCACAGAGTCTCTCAACCTAGTTCAAGCTTAGTAAGGAGCTATAGCGGAGCATCACTGGCCTGTCCCATTGCTTCAAAGGCTGTAGCTTAGGCTAGATCCATTTGTATTGCTTAAAGCCGATTGAGGGGGTAGAGTGCTATTTTAGCCAACTCTGTACATATCAATACAGAAGCAGGGCAAGGTTTAGCCAAAATGGAAACAAATGGTCTTCTTTCAAGGACTGCCATTCCAGTGGTCCTCCACAGAACTAATTAAACTGATGTGTTAAGAACTGAGACAAAGCTTTGGTATAGTGGCACATGTCTATAATCTCAGCATTCTGGAAGGCTGAGGCAAGAAGATCACAAGTTTGAGCCTAGTTTGGGCAATCTGGTGACTTATCGAGAATCAGTCTCAAAATAAAAATAAAAATAAAAAGAGGTGGGGAGTGGAACTCTGTGAAAGACCTGGGTTTAATCCTCAGTACTGCAGGAAAAAAAAAGGAAAAAAGGAAGGAAGGAAGAAAGAAGAAAACAAAAGAATGAACTGACATTTGGTTCTGGCTTGTAGTTGCTCTCCTTTCTTCTCACATGATTTTTATTTAATGAGTGTCAAATGTTCTTCTGCAATTTTCTTTAGTCTGAGGGCTTATTTCTGTATCATTCTCAACAGAAGGCACTTCACAAAGGCGTGTAAGTTTATAATAAATACTATGGACAATCTTCTGCTAAAAGTCCCCGGTCCTCCTGCACTGGAAATTTCTCACAGGCCTTTCCTCACAGAAGTCAGTTTCTAGCCATGATGCCCATTCACATTTCTGGCTCTCATTCTCATCCTCGCACACCCAGTCCTTGCCCAGTCACCTGCTCACTCATTCTGTACTCCCCCCACTTCTATTTCCTTCATCTTCCCTCATCCTGGGAATTCCCACTTACTTCTTCATAGGCGAGTGCCATATCTTTGTTGTCTCCTTTCATTCAATGACCAAATGCTTCAGCTTCCACCTCACAAGCGGACCATCAAAGGTTTTTAGACTTTCCTTAAACTCTGATACTAGCATATGTGTTAATATTTTCACCTTGTTGTGCTAATTTAAAAGGAATCATTTCGTAGAGACATAAATAATCTTGCTAGGATGGTTTGACCAACATTAGGAACAATGTTGTCAATATTCCTACGAGTGCCCTTCGCCTTCCAGTATCAGGAAACTGCCTTTCTTTCTGTTTCAGTTCATCTTTGTTGCATACAAATCACTCCAAGCACAATGGCCTGCAACAACAACCATTTCATTCTCTATTATCAGTCCTTTGGTTAGCTAGGCTCAGGGAAGTGGTTCTGTTCTATATATTAACTGAGACTCGAGTCATCCTAGAGCCCACCTCATTTGGAACATACCAGATGGCTCATTTATATGTAGGGCAGTAAATGCTGGCTGTCTACTAGGATTTGAAATAGGGCTGTTGACTAGTGTACAAGGTTCTCTTTCATATGACCTGCCCATGTAACTTAGGCTTCCCATATTGTACTAACTTGGCTACAAGAGGGAGCATCTCAAGCATCTCAAGACGGGAAATTATAAGCTCCCAATTCTTTGTTTTTTTTTGTTTTTTTTTTTTTTGTTTGTTTTTTGTCTTTTTTATCGGTACCAGGGATCGAACTCATGACTGCCTGCTTGCAAGGCAGGAGCTTATGCCGCTGAGCTAAACCCCCAGCCCCTAAGCTCCCAATTCTTGTAATGAATGGGCTCATCAAACCCAGGATGTCAGCATAAAGCCAGTCACAAGGTCAGTTCAGATCCATATGGAAAGTACATTATTCCTGCCCTAGATATAGAATGCCATGTGTGTAAAGGGAGGAAAGGAACTGCTGGGTCTATTTTTTGGAGACCAGAAAGCATCCTACTTATAACTCCCAAATTCTCAGTGCTTGCATTCCTATACATCCCATCATGTCACTGTGATAATTTGGAAAAATCTTCTAAATATTCAAAACAGACTTGCACTAATGACATTTTGGATCTTTAGCTATCCAAAGACAGTGATATTTTAGTCTTCTTTGAAAACCAAACCTTTGGGTTGAAACTTTCAAATTTTTTAAAAGCTCCTAAAATTTTTTTTCAGTATTGAGACTGAACCTAGGGAGCACTGAGCTAAAGACCACATTCTTCTTTGTCTGGGATTTTTTCCTTTCTATCTTTTAATTTGTACAGGGTCTTGTTAAACTTGTGCAGGCTGGCATCAAACAAACTTGCTATCCTCTTGCCTCAGCCACCCTAGTAGCTGAGATTACAAATGTGTACCACCACACCTGGCTTCTGTTCTTATTTTTAAACACTGGTTATATGGCTTGGGATTCAGTCTGGAAAACAGAAACCATGTTAGTTGTCTAACAAAGAAAACTGAATATGAGAATACAGTAAACCAGCTGTTAGAGGGCTGGAAAAGCACAAAGAAAAATATTGTAATAATATGAACCTTGTCAACTGCAAGAAGCAGATATCAACCTTGTGGCTAGAAAAGCAAAGTGAATAAGCTAGAAGAGCCAAGAAGCTCAGAGCTGCAAATAGAAAGCTTCTTGGTTAACACTGGTGCCTCAGTTCATTAAATATGTTATTATGTTGGCTTATGTTTCTCTTTCAATTTAAGAAACCAGCTCCTAGAAAACATTTGCCTGAAATGAATCCAAATAGTTTAGGCCTCAGAAGCAAATCCATTTTAACTAATAAAAGACTAATTTTCTGGATAAAGCAAGATGGGTTTTTCTTAAATGAGAATCTAATTGTGCAATCCTATATCCTTAAATCTAGCAAATTACCAGCGCACACATTTCTGAGACTACGTAACTTGGATCAGATTTCTTATCATCAGAGAAAAAAATAATTTGTCCATCATCAGAATTTGAAATGAGCTGCAAGAACTTGGGCCTCAGCTGGCAATTACCTCTTGAAGTAAACAAATCCATATGCTGACGCCCTGGAAGACTTGGGTCTCTTCCATACTTCTCCCATGTTCCACCCTCCAACATCCCATCCCTACCCTGCACCACCTTTAAGTCTATCACTTTGCAATCCTTAATCAGCCTTCTTTTCTGTCCTTTATTAGGGACTAGGAATGCTTCCTGTCTTTAATGGCATTTTCTTCCAAAGGCAAAACATTATTGTTCACATTTTCATGCAGAGTAGCTAGTCAGGTGTGACTGATTTCTCTCCCAGCCCTCAAGCCAGAATTGCATAAATTGACACAGTCTAAAAAATAAAATTAGCGTAAAATTATCTGGGTCTCTTTTCACTCAAAAATGCCTCCATTAAGAATTAGTCTTCCGGTCATAAACAAATAATGTGGAGCATTGTATGCAACAAGGGCAGATTCCGCCACTCCTGCCTGGAAGTGATGCCCTTGTCCCTTGGCATCCAGTCAGCCATAAGAGCTGATCATTATTCAGGATACATCCTTTGAATTATTACAAATATTAGCAGTACAACTGACTTTTTATTATAGCCACAAGACATAGTCACTCTTCAAGGTACTAAGGTCTCCCCCACAGGCTATCTTACAATACAGTGTGTAGACAACAAAAGCTAACAAAGATTTGTGTAATGGAAATAAACAGCAGAGAACAAAGTAGACTTTGAAAAAAGCAAGAGCTCCACACATATTTCATTGCCATGAGACTTGAGGACATGTCTACACACTAGACTTCTCAAAATAAATCCCCTTGAGCAGATACTGAAATCAAATTGTACTCATGTTACAGTCATTAAATAAAAATAAAATGGGTGCTTCCTATATATAAAGGGCTAAATTAGGTGCTGGGAAGAAAATGATGAAGTAGTCACATTCACAACCTCTAGAAGGTCAGAGTCTAGCATTAGGAAAGTCTATTAAATAAGAAAAAAAAAACAATGCTAGCACGAAGGCTCTGATGAAATCAAGGGCTAGAGTGTTGGCAGTGCAGAGAAGGAGGGTCTCATTCATTCTTGCATTTACCCTGCTGACCAGGAATGGCAGATACTGTACAGTGATGGGGTGGGAAGAGAGGGAGGGAAGATAGGGGAAAGAGCAGCTTGGGACAAAGCATCAGTATAAAGACTTGAAAATGATAGCTAGCAGGCTTTATTATTGAAACTGCAAGATGACTGGGTGAATGGAGTAATGGGAGATGGCAGGGAGTGTGGCAAGCCACTGCAAGTGAAGAAAATGGAAAAAACAAGAGAAAAAGATCATGAGAGGGGTTTGGGCTTGACTCTAAGGTCAAAGAAAAATGGAGCTGTTGAATTACAGTAGTCTCTCACCCTTATCCTCAGTTTAGCTTTTAGAGATTTCAATTACCTACTGTCAACAATACTTTAGGAGACTACATTTATATAACTTTTATAAAGTATATTATTATACTTGATATGTTTTAATGTTAGTTATTGTTGGTAATCTCTTTCTGTGCCCACAAAATTAAATGTTATCATAGATATGTGTACAGGAAAAAATAGTACATATAGGGTTTGGTATTTGGTTTTTCCCTGGGAGTCCTGGAATGTACTCCCAACATTTAAGATGGAACTACTAGAATAGTTTGCAATTCTTCACTCTCTTTATACTGCAGAGTTGTCACTTTCTGTCTTTGCCATGGCTTCAGGTTGAACAGAGTGGACTTCCCTGCCCTTTGATTTTGGCTTAAGCAATATGGCTTTCTCTGGCCAATGGAATTTTAGCAGGGAAGGCCAGCAGAAGTTATGAATGAGTCTGCATGGTTGGCCTGCCCTCCCATTATCTTTACTCCCAGTATCTTCTATGAAAAGGATACATTTCAGTGAGCTGTTGTAACTTCAGCTGGGGCCCTAGAAAGGAGTTTCATGAACTAGACCTACACCCATCTGGAAGCCTGAGGTTGTGTCATACATAGGTAGCTGAGCCCAGCCTTGGTGAATCAAACTGCTATCAAACCACTGCTCTTGGAACATAAAAACAAATACTTGTTTTTGTAAATTCCTAAGACTGGTGGGAGGGGGTACATAGCAGAAACTGACTAAAATACAAAACCATGGTAAAAATTTCGAGAGGCATGTCATGTTCATACCTTTTTCCATAGCACTTCATGACTCCACTATGAAGAACAGATGCAGCAGAAGACCAGTTGGAGGTAGAGATTCATGGAGATTGCTGTTACCCCAGAGAAATAATGGTGATCTTACCTAGGCAACCAGGGGTAAGAGATGAAAGAAACACTTAGTATTCCCTTAGGACAGTATTCACTTGTATGACTTTCTTTTTAATATTAAAGCCTGCCTTCCTTAAGACCAAGATAAGCACAATCTGTCTAAACCATTAGAGCTAAACAGCTCCTTTAGCAGTTTAGTTCAGCTTCATATATTCATTCTACTGCCATTTACTGAATGCCTGCCATGTGTCAGAATAAGATAGGACATCCAGGCTATCCAAAGGCCTACAGTCCGAAAAAGAAAGATTATAAACAAGTAATTGTAACAATATGCTATAAGGACTGAAATGTACCGTAATAAAAGAGAGAATACAACCTACAGGAAGGTAAACATGATCCTTTATTAATTTTCCTGGAGATGTTTATATTCCATCATGTGGACAAAGGTCTTCCTCTGTTTTATTTACTGATACATTCCAGGTGCCTAAAAGAAAATGCCTAGCACCCAGTAGATGCTTGGTAAATATTTGGACTTTGTGCCTAGTTTCCTGAACTTTGGCTCAGTCTCACTCTTTTGTCTCTTTCCAGTCTGCAAAGTCTCAAACAGGATTCCCATGAACTGAAATGATGATAAATAGCTTTACACAAAAAAGAGAGTGTAGAATAAAGACTAAGACAGTGCCAAGCATGGTGGTGCACACCTGTAACCCTAGTACGTGGGAGGCTGAGGCAGGAGGATTGAGGCAAGTTCAAGGCCAGCCTGGGCTACACAGTAAGTTTAAGGCCAGTCTGAACTGCATTGTAAAATAACACAAACTGCATTGGATCATTAAGAATGTTGCTACTGACTTTTGAGGGCAGTTTTGATAGTGTTGGGTTAAGAAATCACACTATAGGCACAAACTTCCTCATCTTGCCTTTTAGGTTTAGATTGTGGATTACAATCTTTCACAAATGCACTGTGGATATGGAAAGGAAAGCATACAGCCACAAAGGCTAAAATGCTACTCCATGGCACTTATTTTGAAGAACTTACCCTGGTCTAAGTCTGGCCCTCGGTTGCTAAAGTTGATGCACTTTATTTATTTCAGAGACCCTGCTTTACACTAATCCACTAGGGAGTAAATGCTACCTACCAACAAGCTTTATTAAGATTAGTTTTTACTAAGGAAGGTAATGATCATGTGTACTTTTTTAATCTGTCTAACTGGTACACTGTTTTTCCTTTAGATACGTGAGAAAATAGCTTGAGATTTATGAAATTAAAGCACAGAAAGAGAACTCCAATGTTAAATGGAACCAGATTTTATTAGCCTGACAAAATTTCAAGATTTGAAGGGTCATACATTTTGGATATTTACCAAGATTCATAGGAGACCCTCTACAGGGTCTCCTAGCACATAGAAAGGCATAACTGATTTTTACATAGCTCCATCGATGGCCAATGCCGCCTTCTGATTGACCCTGGAATTCCAAGTAGGCTCTGCAGGCAATTCCCTGCATCAAGTCCTTGAGGCCATTGCATATCAGTGTATGTTTCACTACAGACAGACTAAACAGGCAAATGCAATTTGGTTTTTGGGGTTTTTTTGGTCTTTTTTCCTTTTCATAGGTACCAGGGATCGAACTCACGACTGCCTGCTTGCAAGGCAGGCGCTTATGCCACTGAGCTAAATTCCCAGCCCCTGGCAGATGCAATTTGTAAAGAATCAGAAAGTGAAATAATGCTAAGCAAATTAAAATATTGTTGACTCTTTTATAAGGCTCAGTGTAGTACTATAATGTTGGTATGCTGATTTTAATATGGGGTTATATCTCCATGAAAAAGGATTGAGGGGAATTTCACAACTGTTTGACCAGTTTTAGTATCCCAGTGAAACACAAAATAATAAATCATTGTGTCAGTGATGAATCTACTTTTATGCCTCCCCCAACTAACCCAGAGCTGACTAAAGTCTCAAGATAAAACTATACCATCCTGGATAAATCGTAAGCCCAAGCATGTCAACAAATCACTCACCATAGATTACCACTCTTGTCAAACCTAACCTGTATGCATCCACCCATGCATTCATTGCTACAGAAGTTACTAAAGCACAGTAGCAGTTTTGGATGGTGGGGGGAGTTCCTTTAGAGTCATCTCCTATAGTGAGGGTGAAAATCCTTTGCAACTTTCCACATCCTAAGCAGAAAGGGAAGTTTTTGCTAGTTACTTAAAATTCTTTGTCAGTAAATTTTGCAAGATTGGTGCATGGTTTCCAGTTTGTTGCTTTTGAGATTTCTGTTCTTTTCAGATACATGTTTATTTGGGTCTATGAACCCACATTCATCTGGGAGTAACAGACTACCTTGCCTCATAATAGCTCCATATAAGGCCTGCAAGCCAGCCCCTAACCTGGTGAACCCTAAAGTTCAAGGTGTACAGTGAAAAAAAAATTCTAGGACTGGAAACTTTAAATGCCAGAGTTAATCACTCTCGTTTGCTTTCATACAGTAAAGCAAATTCTCAGGTCAAGGGCACATCTTTGAACCTTCAGAGAGAGGCAACACTTGGAGACAGTAGCCCCCATATGCAGTACTCCAGCAGCTTGGAGGGTTTTGTGGGAGTGGATGATTGCCCAAGGCCAGGTGATCTACCCTTTATTCAGCCACTCTGCACTCCAGGAATACTTGAGTCCTATGTAACATCTTTGCAATGCCCCTAGTTGTAATACCAGTATGATACCAGTTTGCTCTGGCCTGAGTGTATCCCTCATAAGAAGCCCAAAGGGTTTCCCAGGTCAGCAGCATTGTTATACTAATTTTTTAGTTCAGCATTGCCCAATCACACAACTAATACAAATTCAGACTACAAATCACTTGAGGAAAGATGAAGGTCATTAATTCTCATAGATATACAACTCTACCATTCAAAACTCAGGCAGAGGGTATTCCCATGAGATTATAATGAAGCTGAAAAATTCCTATTGCCTAATGATGTCATAGTGGTCTTTACATCATAGTATAATGCATTACTCATGTGTTTGTGGTGATGCTGGTGTAAACAGATTGTGCTGCACATCCTAAAAAGTATTTTATATATATATACATACACACACACAAACTATGTGCAGTACATAATATTTGATAATGATACTAAACTATTACAATACTGGTATATGTATTTATTATACTATACCTTTTATCATTAGAGTATATTCCATTTATATTTTTTTAAAAAATTTTACTATAGAACAGTATGCTATGTTACTCCAGCAATGCATACTGGCAGCAACCTTAAATATCTCGTTTATCTGGTTCCTTGATTGTTTCATCTTATCTTGTGCTTAATTTAATCTCATGTCATTCTCTGCATTATAGCCCTAGAAGCAACAGGTTGTATCATATCACATAGCCTAGGTGTGTAAGTACTCTATGATGTTTGTAAAATAACAAAATCACCTAGACATATTTCTCAGATTTTGTCATCTATGCTAAGTAACACATCAGTATATTTTCCTTTGTACTACCTATACCTTCAGTTTAACTTTGCTATTGTTGCTTTTTTGGTGCTGAGGATTGAACCTGGGCCCTTACACATGCTAAGCAACTATGCTACCACTGTGCTACACCCCTAGTTAACCATGACTTTAAAAAGATACTTGACTTGGGGCTGGGGATTTAGCTCATCGGCATAAGCGCCTGCCTTGCAAGCAGGCAGTCATGAGTTTGATCCCTGGTACCGATAAAAAGGAAAAAGACAAAAAAAAACCAAAAAGATACTTGACTTATTCTATCTAGTACTTCCTGTGTATTCTAGAATGGAAAAGTTTTCAGATTATCCAAACTGCCATATGGTTCAAAGTACTGTTGAAGCCTAGTGAGTATGTAAACATGAATATTCCCACCCTGTAGCCTCAGAGCCCGAACCCTGCATGAACACTGGGGCCTGACCAGGTGTACTTTGAAGATGTGCCACCCCACATGATTCTGATGTGTGCTTCCACTTGAGAATCACTACAATTGAAAATAACAAGCCTAGGTTGTTACACTGTAAGAAAATTCTGTTTATATTTTGCTGGAAAGTAATCTTTTGAACACTGAGTTTTCAAAAGAAATGAAACCTTTACTTGCCTTTACAAAAATAAAATGCCTTTGCTACAGAGATTGTATTTGATGGGCAGTTCTTTTTATAATTAATTGAATACAGAAGATACTGTCTGAATTGTGTTATTTCATGGGGGACCATTCCATTTTGTCAAAGGGAAAGAAAATATAGAGGTATACATCACCTTTCTTTCATGAAAAATTTCCTTGGCTGCAATTTTGCTGAGCTCTGAAAACACTTTAAAACTCTTGCATCCACTTGATGTGGCCTGTCAATATGCTAAAGCCCAGTATAACCGCATTTGACCTTCGGCAGATTTTTAGCTGAATAGGTAATAATTCAGCAATTTTTAATGGTGTCACTGATAAGATAACTAAACAAGTAGACGAGAAATTGCAAGTGGAAGGTACAGCTATTACCTAGTTTGCAGTTCTTACCCAAACCCATTAAACCCAAATGTTTAGAAGGTCCATACATACAGTGGATTGTGCACAATCATCACTGAAGGAGTGCAGTGGTTTGAATGTTTTCTCCTCCAAAAGTTGTGTTGAAATTTGGTTGCCTTTATGGCAGTTGGGAGGTGGTACATTTTGGAGACGACTGGGCTATGAGGACTCAGTCCTTAGGGGTGGGATTGGGGCCATTTTAAAAAGGTGAGGTCCACCCTTCTTGCTCTCTTGTCCTGCTTTCAACCATGTGCTAATGCAGCAAAAACCTGCCCATCAGATGCTGACACCTTCATCTTGGACTTCCCGGCCACTAGCGCTGTGAGAAAATAAATTCATTCTTTATAAATTGCTCTGACTGAGACATCCTGTTATAGCAGCACAAAACGGACTTGGACAAGTATGAGCTAAATTTTTCAAATGATCTATCAAAACCATTGTTGAGATAATTTATGGTTTGTGAAGAATAAAAATTTAAAATGCTGAAAGTAGCTTTCTGTAAAATAAGTGCAAAAGTTATTTGTTTTGCAGTGCTGGAGGTCAAACCCAAGGCCTCGCACATGCTAAGTGCTTTACCTATGAGTTACATCCAAGCTCTTTAGTTTTTTGGGGTTTTTTTGGTTTTTTGGGGGGGGTTGTCTTTTGAGACAGGGTCTCCCTATGCATTTTAGGCTGGTCTTGAGCTCACTTTGTAACCCAGGCTAGCCTCAAACTTGCAAAAATCTTCCTGCCTCAGCCTCCTGAATGCTAGGATTATGGGCATGCGCTACCATGCTTGGCTTTTTTTTTTTAACAATGCTTATTATCTCATTTAACAGCATGCTCTTGCTCCAAACGGACCCAATTAAAAATCCATGTTCCATAAACCATGAGAAGTACTTTACAGTCAGTGTCTTATTTTTTCCTTGCAAAAACACTTGCTGACATTTTCCACGCTTCACAAATGAAAAATGAATTTGCAAAAATGCACAACTGATAAATAGTAGTAATCTGAACCCAGACTAGATATCTAACTCTACAGAATATATGTTTAGTAACAAAATTGTAGTGGCTTTTAAAAGTAAAAAACTAAAAAACAAGGTAGGTGTGGTGGCACATGCCTGTAATCCCAACACTTAGAAAATGAGGCAGGAGGATTGCTATGAGTTTGAGGCCAGCCTGAAGTACATGCCAAGACTATCTCAAAACAAAACTAAAGCAAAAATAAAAATATACACAGAGAAGAATGTCCAAGGAAAATTCTAGAAGCCTCCCTAGCAAGCAAGCAGAAGGTCCTAAATTCGACTCCTGGTACCAAAAACAAAAAAAGCCCTTATGATATAGTCACTTCCCAAAAAACCCATGAGCTGCCAATATTCTAGAATTTTAGTATTTAAGTTTTATTGACTCTACCCCTCCAAAAGTTATCCCAAATCCAGTTGTTATAGCTTCAATCTAGGTGCTGCCAAAGCCTCATGCAGTCTTGGGGGCGTAGGTTTTCAAACGTGGCTGGATCTAGTGTATGTGGTGCTAGGATTAAGGGTGTGTGATTACTAAATCAGTCCACTGCTTGGTTTCACATAGTTGTGGCTAGGATAGAGGGTATGAAGGCTACACTCACCCGAGGGCAGGTATCATGCATACAATATAAAGGACAGAAAGAGAGTTAACATGTTCTCTCCTGCCTGCTTGCCATGGAATGTTTCACCCCTGTGATGTTCCTCTGCCATGTCACCCTGCCTTGGATCCAGCTAACAATTGACTGAACCTCTACAACTGTGAGCCAAACACACCTTTCCTCCTTTAACCTTGGGTATCATGTATTTTGTCCCAGCAATGAGAAAATTGAGACTACTCACTTCTTTCAACACTGTCTCTTTCTGTGACTACTGAAATACATTCTGTAGCTCTTACACTGTGCTCCTGATATTATTTTGACATCATAAGGGTTGAACATCAGATAGTGTGTCACCACAACCTAGATCAAAATGTAGAACATGTCAGTGTTTCACATCTTCCCGATTCCCTTCTCAGTCCACAGTTCCTCTCTAACCCAAGAAATAACTAATCATTCTTCTGGTTTTTATCACCATATATTAGTTTTTGTCTTTCAGCTCCTTAAAACTGTAATTACAGTGTGGAACTCTTGAGTCTGATTTATTTCACTCAAGATTATAAAATTGAACAATGTTATTTTATATAGCAAAAGAAGTATTTTAAATCACTGTGTAGTATTTCACAAATTATTTATTTATTCTATAGCCAATGATCATTTGGCTATTCCTGTGTTTGGCTATTTTGATATAATGAGAGAGTTCTAGTTGTCATATATCCTTACCTAAGCTGGATATTTTCAATCCTTTCATTTTAATAACCTTTAATATTTTTGAGGGGCACAGGTAAAGATTAGAAATCCTTCTAAGGTAGTGTTTAAATTCTCATGCAGTATAAAGGATTCTATAGATAGAGTAGGCATGTGAAACCTTTGGAATTACTAAGGAAATACATAGGAGCCCTGAGGATTTAGGTACATGCAGACCCAGTTCATTTGTTGAAGCAAGCAGTAAACAGTATTTGAGAACTAAACTTTGATCCCTGTGTTCATTTGATTTTGTTTTACCTTTGAGATGGAGTTTCTGTATGTTGCTTGAGCTGGTCTTGAATTCCTGGATCTAAATGATCTCTCCTGAAATAGCTGAGACTATAGATATATGCCAATGTACTCAGCACAATCCTGTGTCCTTGAAGATGAAACTTTATTCCACAAAGATAGAAGAATAGCTCTTTGTGTTGGCAAAGATAGTTCAACAGAGACTGTCTAAAGTTACCAGTGCTACCAGAAGACTGAATGAATGCATCTTTTCAATAGCTGGTTGTTCAATTTAAGTGTGCATAAAAATCTACTGAAAAGTGTGTTAAACTGCCACCTGCAGGCCTCACCCTTTAGAGTTTCTAATCCAGAAGTTCGCAGGTGCAGGTGGGGCTAGAGAACCTGCATTTCCAAATTTAATGAAATCAACAAAGAACATTAAAGGCCATACAAATTATGATAGACAACAGTCATCCTGAAGTCAGCATTTCGGGATACTGGGGATTGAAACCAAGGTCTTTGTACTGAGCTATATCACCAGCCCTTTAAATGTTTTGTTTTTTTTTTTAAGACAGAGTCTTACTAAATTGTTCAATTTCAATCTCTTTCTCTCTCTCTCTTTCCTGTCTCTCTCTCTCTCTCTCTCTCTCTCTCTCTCACACACACACACACACACACACACATATGTCCATGATCTTATACAACTCAGAGCTACTATTTTAATGGGCTTTCATTAAATGCAGACATTAAAGCCCAGAGTCTTGGAAATTTACCTCTTTGTAGATGGAGAAGAGAAACGTCTCCCACAAAATCTTCTGATTATAAGACGGCCTCCAGTAGGTTTGAAGTCAATAGGCTGAGTAATTTCTACTGGTCTAGTTCAAGCTTCTTTTTTTCATCTTTTTAAAAATATGAAAATCATCATAGATCAATGTTTCAGGTATAATATACTTCATTCATTCATTCATTTGTTCTTCACATGACATATTTCCAAGATCTTGCCCAATAGCCTTCCTTTGTTCATTTTCTATATGATCCACATCCCCAGTCCTTTTTTTATTTTACATTTGAGATAAGCTTTCACTGAGTCACTAAATTGTCCAGGCTGAGATTCAGCTTGCAATCCTCCTGCTTCAGCCTCCTACAGTACTGGGATTACAGATGTGCAAGCGCATACCCAGCTAACACAGGAGTAAATTACACAAGACATGAACACTCTGAGGCAAAGACTGCTTCAAAGCAGTTACAACTGGACTGAAAACTGCCCATGTTCAGTATGCAAAGATGAAGATTGTTGAGATATGTGGTAGCTATGAGTCTTACTTAAATTCCTTCTAAACATGAATTACCAGGAACCTTTATTTGACTTGTATTTTGTTCTAATACTAAAGGCCATATTAAATGTACTACTTTATCTTGGACAGCAGACATTTGGATATATAGAAACAACTGCAAGTCATATTTACACTGGATGGCATGGTGGATTAATAATGAAATAAACTCTGCTTGAACTTGATTGCTGGCAGACCATTGAGCTATTAACGTAACACATTCTTACTGAAAAACTATACACGCAATGGAAAATCAGTAAAGAAGGGTGCCATGCAATTGTTACTGATAATACAAGAAACAGTGAGGTTTACAAGTGATTTAGGAACCACAAGCACACAATGTTTTGTTCATATATCCTTCCAAACTGAAACCAAAAACCAATTACAGTTATGTCTCAGTTCATGAACTTAATTCTTTACACAAATTGGACCAGAATTAACTCTCCATAAGGTCAACATTGAACCTAGCCACTAAATTTGGTTCAGCGCTCATCCAGTTTGATTTGTAACCAGAATCATGGAAAGAATTAAGTTTGTGAACCAAGGTACCACTGTATAACTGTCTATAAGCAAAAAGCTAGAGGGCCGTTTCTTCAAACCTCAGTACAAAATACGTAATGTACAAAGATTTTGGAATTGTTGTGTCATAATTTAACAGGTTATTTAAACAAAATAGAATAGCAGTTACATGATTAAATCTATGTTGAATAGCTACAATATGCTTAATAAGTGAAAATATATTTAAACTTACTAAGATGGCCTTCACAGAAAGTAGTCTACATTCTGGAACCTGTGGAAGAAGTGAAAAAAAAACAAAAACAAAGAAACAAACACCACCTCAATGTTTTCATACTGCAAATATTTCTTACATGATAGCTTGTGGAAATATTCTCTTAGTCTACTCTGATACTGAAATACATGCAATGAAACTGAAATGCAGATGGAGAGACCAACATGATTGGTTTCTTGAAAGCTAATTATACCATTCCATTACCACATTTGCAGAACCAAAGAATATATTTTATTCAAGTGATTGTGTACAGCACCAAGTTTAGGCAAAAAAATTAAAAATTAAAAATGTGATTTCAGCTGGGTGTGGTGGTGCACATCTATAATCCCAGCACTCGGGAGGCTGAGGCAGGAGGATCATTGAGGGTTCAAGACCAGCCTGGGCTACAAAGTGAGCCCAAGGTCAGCCTGAACTGCACAGTGAGCCCTGGCTCATAGAGACTAGACACAATTACTTGACTACTTTTGGCTAATGAAACCTAAGTGGATGTGACATTGCACATATGGGCTATTAGCATTTTATTGCCAGCAGTAGACCCTGTGGCCTACTTTTTTCCTGCCTTGGTGAACCCTAAGCCTCATGCTGAGCTGTAGATATGATAAAATGGTAGGGTCTCCATTGGCCTGCTGCCCTCCCACCACTTGATCATCCTGCAAGCTCGTCATGGACACACTGTGTACAACCCAAACATACATCTTTGTTGTTTAAAGCCGCTGAATTTTAGGCCTTGTTTCCACAGCATACCTTAGCTTATCCTGATTGGTGTTTTTCAGTGTCATAAACGTAGAGTATTAGCCCCAGAAGCAAAATATCAGCTTACAATGATGAGAAACAAATGCTCCTGAAGAAAATATCAAGCTTAAAAAATTTTAAATACTAGTATTTTAAATTGGCAAAGACAAATTACATGTATTTATTGTGCACCTGTTCTGGGTTTTTTTTTTTTTTTTGGTACTGGGGATCAAACTCATGACAGCATGCTTGCAAGGCAGGCACTTATGCCACTGAGCTAAATCCCCAGCCCCCACTTTGTTTTGAAATATAACCACATAATACAGTAGTTGTCTGAATACTAACATTTTTAATTACACAATTGTAATACACAAACTTAATTTAAAATTTTTATATTTTATGTATATTGTTTTAGCTCAGAAAGTTATTATAAGATGATATTCCACTTCAATCAAATACTGATTTTTAACATGCAGCTGCTTTGTATTTAGCCAAAATATACATTTGGTGCCTCTCTAAATATAATATACTAAATAAAAATGGTATGAATAAAAGCTTGGCTACATGTGTTTTAATTTAAAATAGTTATTTGATAGAAACCTGAAATAATGTGGAAATTAAGTCTCAAATTTATTCTTTGGAAAAATACCTTGATCGTTTAGAACGAGGCATTCTTTGTGCATCCTGTGCCAGCTGGCTTCCAGGACCGCTAAATTCCAGCAACCAGCAGGATTCAATTCAGTGCTTTGTTTTGACTGCTGGGTTCCTGATGAGAACACCAACTCAGCTGAGTAACTAAATTTTTAGGCTGGGAACAGAAAAGCACAATCAACTCATTTCCTACATATTTAGGTTATCAAATAGCCACACGGTAGCTGGCACTTGTCTCAGCAAGTGGTCCAAAACTTTAGGCTAACAAAAGAGAAACCATTTCAATACTTAAGTTAATACTATTCTCCTACGGGAAAAAAAAAAACTGCTAAAAACTACAGAATCATTATATAAGATCAAACAAAGGTCCATCCTAACACCACTGTATACCAATAGTCACAGTGCAGTTTGAAGCTTTAATAACTTCAGAAGTATACAGTTTGTGAATTTACACATAATATGTGAATATAAAACTATTTAAATTCTTTCATGCTTATCTGGTTTTGTGAATCTGTGAACAGTAAATGTATTTTAATTTTTTGTTTCAGTTAATATTTGGCACTTTCTGTTGGGGATTAAAAGATTTAGAATTCAAAATTATTTGAAATTCACAAAATTAAGTAAGTACAAAAAAGTCTAAATAAGATTTCAAGTGGTGGTTTTTGCAAGCTTGTCAAATTTATACTTCAGAAATTCTCATTTTAAAACAGTCACATAGTGCTTGAATATAAACTTTTATTACTTATACCTTATGTTCAATGAAAATTGAAAGAATTTGTAACAATACACACAGATATTTGCACAGGGATAGAAAACTGAGCCATAAGATTTTTGAAACTGGGTAAACATGCAACTACGTGATTGAAACTGCAGGAAAACTGATCAAATGAGGCAAACTGCCAGGAACATCGGTGATACAGGTTCCTGGTATTATACTACATTTTCACTTTAAAAAGGTTGGGATATTTGTTCTTAAAATAATACAATTTCGGTATTTGGTATTAATATTATCAAAGCTAATGATGCTTTTCCAGAAAAAGTCAAAACAAATAATTTTCAAAGATGTACATTGTGAGAATACAGCCAGGCGAAGGGGTGAAGCTCAATGGTATGGCACTTGTCTGGCGTGGTAGATGCCCTGGATTGCAGCACCACAAAACAAAACAAAACTCGAGAAACACCAGTGCAATGATTATAGTTTTCCTTTCCATTAGATTATCTAGTTCAGTCTTTCTCAACCTTGGCTGTACTGTGGAATGATCCAGGATTTTAAAAAGTATAGATGCTTAGGTTCCACCGATCTCTGATCTAATTGGTTTATGATAGGTTACAGAATTTTAAAGGACCTTGATGATCCCAATGTAGCCGAGGTTGAAAACCATTGCTGTAGTTCAATATATAATCAAGTATATGTCAACATAAAAATATGTGCGGGTGTTCATAACTTCAACTTTTAATAGTAGGACTAATCTCAAACGCTACAATGAAAGCGACTTTTATAAAGAACCTAACTTGCCAGGCATAGGGCACACACCTGTAATTCCAGGACCTGGGAGGCTGCGGCAGGAGGATCCTGTGAATTCGAGGTCAGCCTGGGCTATGGAGCGAGATCCTGTTTTAAAAAAAAAACCATTAACTTAAAAACATGGCTAACTCTCAAAATTATTAAGAAAATAAACCAGACCTAAGGTTAAGATTGTTTACATCAAGTTAAAAAAAATCAGGATGATTGGGGTGGGATTGATTGGGAAGGGAAATGACAAGGAAATTCCTGAGGTGGAAATGTTCTCCGTTTTGTTTAACACATCTGTCAAAAGTTTTAGTCTGTGTGTACAATTTCCATTAAAACAGGATGGGCCGGAGATACGGCGCCTGCCTGGCAAGCGCTAGGTCCCGAGTTCGATTGTCGACACATTTAAAAAAAAAAAAAGATGAACGTAGTTAAATATCGATACCTATGGCAGAAAAGGAAAAGCAGAGGCGATTAATTGTTTCACAAGACCTAAACTTGCTAGATTCCAAAGAACAGCAATCACGAAATCAAAACTAGTGAGAAGGCAGAGCAGACAGCAGGGAGAGCCAAAGTCTACGAAATCGTCGAAAGAATGGCAACTTAAACCCAACCGCACTTCTGACGGTGGCGCCGGAGTGCCACAAGAATATAAGCCCCTGCACCGCTTTTCCGGTACTCCCAACTCGGGCTATGTGTACGCAACAGAAGGGTCCGGAGCGCAACGTCGCCACCGCAGCAAAAGGACCGGACACAACTTAGTTCCTGCGCAGATGCTGGGGCTATAAGGCACCAGGACGACGGTTGGCCGTTTGCGGCTCGCAGTGAGGAGGACGTCAGTGCTCACCTTCTTTCCGCTGTCGCCATGATTCCGATGTCGCTGGTGGTCTTAGTGGTGGGTGGCTGGACTGCCGTCTACCTGACCGATTTGGTGCTGAAGGTGAGGGCCTAGAGCCTTAAACCCTGGCCGGCGTGTCCGGGGCCGGACCGCAAGGTCCTCTGTGGTCAAAGGCCTTTTCTCTTTCCCTGGCCAGCGCGTCCTGGGCTGGAAGCCACAGCGTCGGTGCTCACGTGCGGCCTTGCGCGTGGCTCAGCGGCCTGCGGAGCAAGCAAAGCGCGGCGGGTCGAGGGAGGGGTGTGGCTGCCCCCGCGGTTGCCGCACTGCTGGCCACAGTTTCCCGCAGCCGTTGGCTCCTGCCCGGAAGGCGCCAAGGGGAGTTTTGAGAGGGCTGGGCCTTGGTAGACCCCACGGCGGCAGTGTATCAGGGAGGAAAAGAAAACGTCCATTTAGGAAAGGCACGGTTTTCCATTATTGTTTCAAGGTTACAACTCTCTAGATACTTTGGTATTGGAACGAATGTAAATCAAGTTGTGATTAAAATCCTCAATCTCGAATTAAAAAGTGCGGCCGATCTTCTGAGATTCCAATTAAAATACAGGTTCTGTTTCAGAAGGTATAGGGCCTGGTGCTTCTAACTAGGTTTTAAGTGAAACTGAAGCTGCTGGCCCACAGACTGTTCTTCAAAGTAGCAGACTCAAGCAAAAAAAGATTTTAATAACCGGTTTCCTACTATTCGAATTCTGATTTGCACCCTTTACCTGCTTCACTAGTCACACACACCCTGGATACACCGTTTATTTTTCAGTTATTTGAGAATGTAGCAATAAATAAGTAACAGCTGTCTGGTTCACATCTTTTTGAACCAGTACTGGGGAGTGGATGTAACTTTATGTGTTGAATAAGATTGTATAAATTCTCAAAGTTTAATAGAAATGACAGGTATGGATAATAAAATTTTCATGTTAGGAATACTGTTTTAAGTAGAATGCTGTAGTATTGTGTGTTTTACATATAGCAAAGTGAAGTGGTATTTGTGCTTCTTAGTCATGTTTAAACTTGCTAAATGCAACAGTTTATACAATGTAAACCCGATGTGGTGGCACACACCTGTAATCTCAGCATGGGAGGCTGAGGCAGGAAGATCACTACCAGTTGGAGGCCAGCCTGGGCTACACAGTGAGTTCAAGGCCAGCATGAACTACAGAGTGAGACCCTGTCTCAATTAAAAAAAAAAAGTTTATGCAGTATAGTTCTTAAGGCTCCAATGGTGGAAAACCTATGATATGCATGCCACAGCGAGCCATTTGTATCATTCAAAGTTCTGAAAGGTTTGCCATTACTGGAACTTCTACCACTTCCCAGACATTGTGACCTTGGGTAAAATACTGCCTGTACCTTGCTTTCTCATCTTTAAATAGAGATAATAGTAGGAAGAATTTCCTGAGATTATAGAGAGGAATGCATTAGTGGCATCCACTAATGTAAAGGCCCGCTACCTGAGGTTCAAAGACCATTAGCATTCCCGTGATCTGGGAGCCTATTAGAAAAATTTGATGCCTTGCTGCCAATCTGTAGAATCAATCTACATTGTAACAAGAAGTGATGCCTCTGCACAGTGGTGTTTAAGAAACACTGATGTAAAGGACTTGCTGGAAGGATTAGCATGTTGTACGCAGTAGGGGCCACAATAATTTTGTTTGTGGTGGTAGAGAATTTTTGGGTTGTTTTTGCAGTGCTGAGAATTGAACCCAGGACTTCCCACATGCTAGGATGCTCTTCTATTAAGCTACACCCCTAGTGTGATTTCGTTTGAGAGGGGAGGAAAGAAGCCACATGATTTCTTCATGTTGCATATATGAAAAAATGAAAATAACCTGTGAAACTTGTATAGTCGCTGATCAAGTCTGTGAGGTGATCAAGATGTTACTTTAATTTCAGTGATGGCCCCTAGCTCCCTATGAGCACAATAATCCCGAAACAAAACATCTAATACTTATTTAGAGTATCTGCTTGGAAAGTGGAGAAACTCTGACTTTTATGAGCCTGCACCTTCAGAGTCTCTGCTTCTAGGTTGATCTGCTGTTCTATTTGGGATTTTCTGGGATTTCTACAATAGACATCTGCTGGAAGAATGTGTCGCACTTTTTTCAAATCTTAGAAAAACGAACAGATTTAAAAAGCTATCAAAGATTGAGAGCAGAAAGCATTACAGATCCAAAACAAAGAGATATTTAGACTCTGGCCATTTTGTAATTACTGATAGGCCTAGTGTAGCCTTCTAGGGAAAATAAGTTACATAGATGAACATTATTTATGACAATATTTACAGTACATATGTAAGCGTCAGGTATTTATCACAGCCTTTTGTGAACCATGATCCTGTATTAGTCAAGAACTTCATACTTCTCTAAAGATAAAACTCTCTGACTGTGTATAAGCAGCTACTCCCACAAGCCCTGGGAAGTTTATGAGATTTTTCCTAAAACCGAAATGGCTTTAGGTAAATTTTGTCCTTTTACTTGATCAAAGTTGATAACTTAAGACTTGCTCAGAAGAAGAAAAAACTGATTTCAACTAACTTGTCTCTTCTCTTGAATTGATTGGGAGTCTTTTAGAATAATAGCACATTACCTCTTTCCTTTCTGTGACAGCAAGGTCACCTATGCTGTCTAATTATGGTAGTTATTAACTACGTGTGTTTACTAAGCATTTGAAATGGAGCTAGTCTAAGTAAAGATGAGCTCTAAGTGTAAAGTTGACTCCAGATTTCAAAGTATACCAAAAAAGATATCTAAATAACTTTTTATGTTGCTTACATGTTGAAATGATATATTGGGTATTTGGGGTCAAAAATATATGAAACTAAGTCTTTAGTTTTGGTTTTTAAAATTTGGCTACAGGACAGTTTAATATATATATAGATAGATAGATAGATAGATACACACCCTGCTTTTGTGGCTCACATTTTTTTTATATTTCATTTGGACAACACTGTTATAGCAGAGGTCAACAAAATTCTTTTGTAAAAGACTAGATAGTATTTTAGACTTTGTGAATCACACAGGATTTCTGTTGCATATTCTTGGTTTTTCATTGTCTTTTGTTATAATCACATAAAAATTTAAAAACTATTTTTAGCTCACAGGTTTTTATCTGTGGACCCTGTTTGCCACATCCTAACCTGAGCAAAACAGCTATTTTGGGGGCTGGGGATTTAGCTCAGCGGCATAAGCGCCTGCCTTGCAAGCAGGCGGTCGTGAGTTCGATCCCCGGTACCGGTACCGATAAAAATGAAAAAGACAAAAAAAAAAAAAATTAAAACAGCTATTTTGAGACTTTTAATACTTTAAACGATAAGTGTAAAGCTTTAAGATTATAAGCATTTGCGTAATCAGCATCTTGATTTCTTATAGAAAATACTTTTTTATTTCCTGTGTACATTATAAATTGTTCTTCAAAATTGAATGATGTGAAATTTTTCTTTCTGTCTTAGTCATCCGTCTATTTTAAGCATTCTTATGAAGACTGGCTGGAAAACAATGGATTGAGCATCTCCCCTTTTCACATTAGATGGCAAACTGCAGTTTTCAACCGTGCCTTTTATACTTGGGGACGACGGAAAACGAGGATGCTTTACCAATGGTACTCTTTACTTCCCTTTTTGGTTTAAATTAGTTAGTTGTGAGAGCTTGTTACATTAACATTTCCATTATTTTTGGTATACTGAGTTTTAAAATAGTCACAGAAAAACTTTTTTTAGAAACATAGGATTCTGTCATTGTGCTTTTGCTAACATTAAAAGATTAGGCATTTATGATATTTTATGGTTTGAGATATATGATGATGTCTGGAACGCTTAAGATCCTGATAGTTTCTGTAGTGAGAAAATGTGGGGTTGGCCTAAATTCCATTTGTTAGAAGTGGATTAGAGCTAAATGTAAATAATCAAATTATCAAAGAGTTACCAGAAAATACAATTACAAATCAGAGGATGCAAAGCAGAAAGAAGAAAATAATACAGAACAGAAATTAGTAAAATAGAAAATATACAGTAAATTGGCAGAACCAAAAGCCAATTTTTTGAAAAGATGAATAAATCCTTACTATAACCAATCAAGAATGAAGGAAAGAGAGTAACTAAAAATCATAATTCTGCCAGGTTTGTGGCACACACTTGTAATGCCAACACCCAGGAGGCTGAGGCAGCAAGATTGCTCGCCTGCACTACATAGTGAGTTAAAGGCCAGCCTGAACAGCATAGCAAGACCCTGTCTCAAAAAACCAAAACAAAAAGAAATCACAATTCTGTTGGCATTAAATTAATAACAAACCAGACATGATTGTGCATCCCTGTGGTACCAGCACTTGGGAGGCTGAGGCAGGAGGATTGTCACAAGTTCAAGGCCAACATGAACTACATTATGAGACCCTGTCTCAATAAATACATCCATGCATGCATTCATATGTACTGTATTCATAATAAACAATTCAACTATAAACTTGACAATTTAAATAAAATTATTTCCTTGAAAAGCAATTTATCAGAAAAATAAGAAAATGTAACAAATTATTCCTAACTATAGAAAGGTATTTTTCTAATTATTAAAAGAGTGAAAGACAGGATCTACTATTAAGTTTTGCTGTATTAATATTTAAACTCATTTATCACATGGTAAAGCTAAAATACAATGCAGACAATAGAATGGGTAGATGATAAAAGATGAATATGTATAATGCCAAAAGTTTCCTAATTATTAGAGCAGGATCTAAACAGTGCTATGTAAATAATCAAATACATAAGAGGACACAATTTTTTTTCTTTTCTTTATTAGTAGTACCAGGAATCAAAGCCAGGGCCTTAAGCATGTTACACTACCACTGAGCTAGACCCCTAGCCCAAAATACACTTTTTAAATTAAGAATGCTATTCAGCCTCTTTAAGTATGAGAGAACTGTAATTTATTAAAACTGCTTAAAGAACCTAGTACCAAATTTCAAGTATTTGATGTTCAAATAGAAAGACAGTTACTAAAATTTTTACCCCTTATTTTAAAACTTTGGAAGTATGGCTGGTCACTGAATTTGTTACTCCATGGTTTGTGAAGAATCAAGCATTTACTTAAATTTTTTTTTCCTCTTGACAGGTTCAATTTTGGAATGGTGTTTGGCGTAATCGCCATGTTTAGCTCTTTTTTTCTCCTTGGAAAAACATTGATACAGACTTTGGCACAGATGATGGCTGACTCCCCTTCTTATTCTTCCTCCTCCTCCTCTTCCTCTTTTTCCTCCTCCTCTTCCTCTTCTTCATCATCTTCCTCTTCCTCCTCTCTTCACAGTGAACAGGTGCTACAAGTTGTGGTAAGTCCCTTCTTTGTGTTTTAAGTAAATTTGTTGATATATAGATGCAAGATTTTTTTCTGACTAATGTAACTACTATTCATAATATAAATATGAAAGTGGAAGTCCCACAGTTCTTCAAATTACCTGCTTCAACAAAAAACTTTAGATAGCCAGAATCATTGCAATAAATATTTGATTGTAGTATTGATAGTTGTAGCAGAGAACAAATGGACCACTGTCAAGACTGTTAGTAGTTATAAACTATTAAGTTTAATTCATGATGTTTTCTTAAGATTTGAAATGATTGCTACTTTGAAAGAATAAACAGGCTGATTTAAGATCTGTATAATGTGTAAATGAGTCGCATTTTAATCCTACACCAAGTATTCTCTCATTTTCATGGCTTTCAGAGGCTAACTAAAACAATAATACCATTTGTTGTTACTGAGTTTTGTTGGTTTATTTTTGAGACAGGGTCTTGCTGTGTAGTTCAGGCTGTCCTTGAACTCACTATGTAGCCCAGGCTGGTTTGAACTTGCAGCAGTCCTCCCGCCTCAGCCTCCCGAGTGCTGGGATTATAGGTGTGTGCCACTATGCCCGGATGATACTCTTTTAATTAAAGATATGAGACTGGGGCTAAAAGTGTAGCCTAGTGGTCCAATGATTGCTTTACATGCATAGATAAAGCCCTGGGTTCAGTCTCCAACACTGGGGGGAAAAGAAAAAAAGGTGTGAAACTTTTCTGAGTGGTCACTGTCATTTCTTGATGTAAAAAATAATGTTCTGAGTTGTGTTCCTTTGACTATAGGCTATTTATAATCATTTTCACATTAAGGTGCATATGTGGACCTGTATCCTGTCATTTCTTGTCTCCAGAATTTGGAAAGGGGTTTCACATTGGCTTACTTTTATTTTATATTTTTATATTCGTATTCCCATTCCATGGGATTGTTTTTAATCCTGTTCTTATTAAACAGAATAGATTATTCAAGAGTTAGTAACAGAAAAGAGCAGAATATAGTTATTGAGAGAAAGCAAGCTTCTGTCTGAGAGTGACAGACAGAAGGGGTCCCAAGGGACTTTTATAGAGTAAAATCACAAAGTGATGTTGGTCTAAAGTGCGGAAAACATAGAAACTCTCGATGTGGGTAGGAGGTGGGACAAAGCTGTGCTCAACCAATTAATTGTAGGTAAAAATGATTAAATCAGGGACAAACAGGGAAGCCAGTCACATAGCAATTGGGCATGAATACCAAACAGTGACTCTTCCTGTAGGCGGTTGGGAGGGTGACTCCTGGTTTCCTCAGGGTGATAGAGACCTATTTAGAATATTCACTCTCATTGCTTATCCTTAGGAAGCATGTAAACTCATTTAATTTGTCTTTTGTCTGAGGCCTGGCCCACAGCAGGAGGTGTGTGTCTTCCCCACAGCTGCAAGGTATCTAGTCTTCTGCACTGGCTCCTTTGAGGGCCCAGTCCTGTCTGACACCTGTAATATTTCTATCTATCTCAGCTGCCTATAACAGTCCCCCCTTAACCCAAACTGCCATGAGGGAGTAATGGTTGTGACCTATCTGGATCTGAAGTCTTCTGGCTGAAGGGAGTCTTAGTTGTTTATCGGCAGTCAGAGATACTCTGCAGAGGATCTCTCTGAAGGCCCTCAGTAGACACCAGGTGTTTTTATCTTGAGTAGGCATAACAATTTTAAGTCTGGAGGAGACAAAGGCAAAGTAACAAATATGCCAAGGCCAAATAATAGAATTATTAGGATAATTATGAGACAGTTAACAAAGATTTCCACCAAGAGAAGCTAATAAGGGCTACCAATAGGGAGGATAAGGATAAAGTCTAGGAAATTTTAGAGTCTAACATGTCATTGACTTTTTTTTGTCTTTTTGAGATGGGGTCTTGCTGTGCAGTTCAGGCTGGCCTTGAGCTCACTTTGTAGCCCAGGCTGGTCTCCAACTCAACAGTCTTCCTGCCTCAGCCTCCCGAGTCCTGGGATTACAGGCATGAGCCACTATTCCTGGCTGTCATTGACTTTTTAAAAAGGTGTCTATGGCCTCTTCTATGATGGGTTATTATGGGGAGATTTGGAAGAACTATAAAGAATCGTCCCAGGTCTTTCTAAGTTTCATCAGGTGAGGCTACAGGAGAGATGATTTATCTCTTAGACAAATGTTTACTGAGTATAGTCTGTTTACTAGCTGTGTGCAGGGTCCTGTTCATGTGGGGAGCAGAATCCAATCCTGGTATTCATGGTGCTTTCAGTTTGTAAGTAGAGCTGCTATGATTGTGCTACAAATGGGCATATACAAGGTGTTATGAGAAGAGAGAAGAGTACAAATTCTGCCTGGTGCTGGAAAAAAAAATTAACCTTTAACAGAAGGATGAGGAGAGTTCATGTAATGTAGAAAAGGAAGATGAAAATTGAGCACCCCAGTAACTGAGGGAATGATATACATTAACGTGGACATGCAGAGGGCACGATCATAGTACTAATAAAAGCTTGTTAACATGCAGTGCTTTGTGTGAGGTTGCCGCGCCTCCTTATTGTAATGTTTGTTTTTGTTAGTTTTATGAGTACATGTGTATAGCACATAATGTTTACATTTCTTATGGGGAATGTTTACATTCCTTATGGGGAGTTGGTACATATACATAACACATTTTAATTCCTTTTGTCATCTCCCTTCTCTTCCATTCCCCTCCACCCAGCTAATGATCCCCTTTTTTGTATGTTTGCATCACGTAATGTTTGTATTGCTTGTGTGGAGTTGGTACATCTCAATTCCTTTTTTTCCCAATCCCAACTCCAGTTCCTTTTTTTCACCCTCTACCCCTCCTATCTCTCCATCTCTTAAGCCCCTGCACCTTTGAGAAAGATCTATCCTCCTATTTCCTATTATCTATCTTTTATTTTACTCTTTATTTTTACTCTGGGTTTCTCATGTAAGAAAAAATGTGATATTTAAGTTTGTAGATCTAAGTTATTTCACTTAACATTATGATCTCGCGGTCATTATTTTATTCTTGTAACAATCTCAAGGTATTTGTATTCTTCTAGACTTACAGATGAGAAAGTCAAAGCACAGACAGATTAAGCCACTTGAGTGCCACAGCTGATTAACTGTGGATCTGTCGTCACTGGCCTTACAACCTACATGTTATTATGTTCTACTCTTCTTAAGAAAGACAAATAAGTTTCAAGGAAGTATAAGTAATTTTGACCTGTGTCCATGAAGTGTAGAATAGAAGGATGGGTCGGAGTATTGGAAAGAGAACAGGGCAGTGCACGAGGTAAGATTGGAGACTTCATGTAGGTAGAGCCTAGATTATGTCGGACCATGCTCAGAAGTTTCAGTTTTACTATAGATTAATAGTTTTTTACAAAATAGACCAAGGATGTCTAGTTTGAACATGGGGAGACCATTCAGGAGGGCCGCTGGAGTAATTTGTGTCAGAAGTGATATAGATTTAAACTAAATTAGTGGTGAGGAGAGTGAAGGGGTTGGATTCGAGTAATCTTATGGAACAGAGTTCTGAGACGTAGTGATTAATTAAATGAGGCTGGAGGGAGAAGGAAAACTTGAGGATGTTTCTCAGATGACAGGCAGGCCTGGTTATTGTTTACCAAGAAAGAAGATAGGAGGGAAGGAAATGTGTGGAAAAATATGATCATTGGTGTGTCTGTTAGAATTAGAGTGGTGACACTAGAATTAGAAATTATTTCTTCTCTTTACTTTTCAGTTTACTCATCATGCTCACAAAAATATTGACTGTACTAAGCCAACTGTGCTTTTGAACAGTTAAGTCAGCAGCCCTCTAGTCCATGTGCATATTTATGTATAATTATTTTTAATTTATTCGTACATGTGTATAGTATGTAATGTTTATATTCCTTGTGGGAAGTTGGTATATATACATGATACGTCTTAGTTCCATTTTTTATCCCCTTTCCCTTCCCTCCCCACTCACCCATCCTTTGAGCCCTTTATCTTCTTTTCTGGAAATGTTTGCAGTACATCATATTTACATTATTTGTGTGGAGTTAGTATACTTTAAGAATATTATATGTCCTGACTTCGTTATAAGCCCTTGTATCTTAAAGAATATACTTTTCTATTTACTCTGTAATTCTCTGCAACCTTGTTCAGTATTAATTCCCAAAATCCTGGCACTCTGTGTTGTTGAAAGTAGTTGTATTCAGTATTCTGGTACATCTAATACCCTGTGTGATCGTGGCAGAGACAGATGGGCGATCTTGTACTGTCGCCAGAAAATAAGACCTACCATCTGTTGGTATAGTCACACTCAAATTCTTTCCTCAGCTCACTGATTATTACATCTAGAAAATAATAAAGAAAAGAAACAAATATCCAAGTAGATAAAACTTACTTATTTGTTTGAAACAAAATACGGTAACCAGGATATTTAGTGAGATAAGCAGAATGCATGCGCATTAATCTCAGGGATATGAATCTAGAGAGGACTCAAAGAAAAGAATAATGAGCCAAACAGATGCCTGAAAACATGGGACTGGAACATGCACACAGAAAAAAAAGACACTGATATTGTGAAAAAGTTATCAGTAGGGTCTGAGTAATGTGAATTCCAGATGAGATATTGTGCATACATTAAGATTGATGTTTATGAAAATGAGTTTCATAGCCAAAGAATAGACCCTTGGAATCAATGGAATTTAGAAAATGATTCAAACAACATTCTGTGAATCTCCTCTTTAGAAGGAGGTTTAAAAAGTAAAATTCCTTTGCTGTGCAACACAAAAATGAATTCCAGTTGAGTTAGAATTAAAGCTTTAAATCATAAAAGACCTTGAAAGAAAAAAATCAAGTTGTTGGTTACATGAACACAATATAATGAGCAAACTTCTGGAATAGGAGGAATGAAGGGTATGTAATTCTTTCACACTGATTAGGTACTTCATTATATACTAGCCTTCATTACCAAATATCATAACTTGAGACTATTTCTCTCTATGTTGGTTGTGTATTTGCTTGAGAGAAACTACCTGGTTTTAAAAAACTAATGTTTTTTGCTTTTTGATTATGATAGAAATGTCTCAAGAAATGAATCATTAATAGTTATATTACTCTCAGTTTACAAAACATTTAGCTTGGCTGTTTAAACTTTAATACAAACTGAATACCATGTCTCTTGATGCCCATTTGGGGCACCCCTACACCCCCACTGATAATTGCTGCATATTGTGTCCATAAACAGGTTCCTGGTATAAATTTACCTGTCAATCAACTGACCTATTTCTTCGCTGCAGTCCTCATTAGTGGTGTTGTACATGAAATTGGACATGGGATAGCAGCTATTAGGTAATGATATTCACCTTTTTCATTTCTACTACATACAAAGATGTTATTAACAGGGTCTAGTATTGATATATCTGATAAGTATTTTTTCTTTCTGGGATATTTCCCAGTGCATATCATGTATTACTTTGAAACTTCTCTTTAATAGAAAAGCCTAATGCATTGATGAATAGGCTCAATTAACCATGTATACTTCTCTAATCTGAGTGTTTCACCAGTATACTTTTACCTTCATGGTGCTTCAACATTTGTCATCCAACCTTGAAAGCTAATTTTCTATTCAACATTGGATTGGAATAATATCCCCCATACTTAACCCCCTCTCCTTTGTAACTTATTACTTTTTTCAGTCTATCAGCTGAAATAATTTCCTCCTTTTGTTCATATTCCATACTGGCTAGAGCAAGAAAACTAAAGCACTAGACTTAACAAATATACTAGTACCAAAGAGAAGAGGATGAGACTTAGGACTTGTATTAAATATCATGTCCTGTTGGTGGTCTTGACAACCCAAATGCATCATTCTATACCTGAGTACTTAAAAGCCTATGAAATTTATAAAATCATAATGTAAAGGGAACATGTCACAACTCTTCCTGTCAATCCATTGACAAGTACTGCAATAATCAGAAGCATGCTCACAGAAATGTGTTTTATCCCACCGCTGTATGGGCCAGAGGAAAGGAGAACCACTGTTTTAGAGGACAGAATTTAATTGCATCATATTATTTTCTAGTTCTTACAAACAGGAGTCTATTGACTGGCAGTAAAACCTCATTTTGACTGAGCATATACTGTTGCATAGGCGTGCACAGTAGTGAATAAAAGGCTGCTTTTTTTCAAATTCCCTTCACCTTTGCATCTATATTTTTAGCTTTTAAGATTTTCCATCTAGCAGTACTGATAGTAACAGTTTAATAATTTATAATATATTCATGAAATAATAGGTAATTTTAATAAAATTCCTATTGCCAACAACAAACATATAGTTATCTTATAGACTTAATATCGATAGAACAGTATATTAAGGTGATGATTTTTTTTAGAGGAGCTGTTTGGTCTTATGATACTATTAAATATAATGTACATTTTTAGAAAATGAAATGATAAAATAGTTGTATTGAGGATAGTCTGAGCATTATACATTTTAAAATATACTTATCTTGACCGGGCGTGGAGCATATGCCTATAATCCCAGCACTTGGGAGGCTGAGGCAGGAGGATAGTTAAGAGTTCGAGACCAGCCTGGGCTACAAAGTGAGCTCAAGGCCACTCTAACTGCATGGTGAGACCCTGTCTCAAAAAAAGGCGAAAATATATGTATACACACACATATACAATGTTAGTTGAATAGGAATACCTTTAGCTAAATGCCCACTATTATTCATAATAGCTAAGACAAATAGAATTTAGATAATTTACTTAAATTATATATTCTCCTGTATCCTTCTCTGAAAATAGATCATTTTAGACCATAAAAATATTTATCATTGGGATTGGAGGTTTAGCTCAGTGGTGGTAAGTGCCTGCTTGGCAAGCTCAAGGTCATAGTTCTAATCCCTGATACCAAAAATAAATATATATATATATATATATATATATATATATATATATATATCATTTAGTTTCATATAGACTTATTAACAATTATTTTATGTATCTGACTAGTTTATTTGTTCAACATATTGACTTCTTAACTTTTGAAGTTATATTTTAGAATGGACTTAATCTTATTTTATAAAATTTAATTTCACAATAATCAAGTCTATACAACACTATTATAAAATTATAAACATATATTAATTATCCAGGGAAACTTATTTCTTAAGCAAGAATTTCAGTGACAATGAATTTTAACATTACCTACATTATTAATTTGACAAATGCAATAGCATGAGTAAATTCCTTTTTCTTGTGTGATTTCTTAGGGAACAAGTTCGATTTAATGGCTTTGGGATTTTTCTCTTCATTATATATCCTGGAGCATTTGTTGATCTGTTCACCACCCATTTACAACTTATATCACCAGTCCAGCAGCTAAGGATATTTTGTGCAGGTAACAGATTTTTTTTTAAAATGTTCATCTGTGGTTTTGGTTTTCTGGAAAGTACTTATATCAAAAAATTAAATTTTGATTAGTAGACTCCCTCATATTTTACTAGTATATATAAATAATTTACATACCAATTTCTTCTTTAAAACAAACTATAAAAACAACATAAAATATAAAAATAACAGAGAAGAAAAATCTTCATTCTTACTGAAGCAAAAAAACTACCAAAACCTGAAACAACAAACTATGGAGAACATCAGTTCAGCTGAAATATAAGGAAATTTGCTCAAATCAAGGAAAAATATTAAAAATCATCGGTAAAACATATCAATTCAGGAATGGAGAAGAGATGTTATGGAGTAAAGCCTCATGCTAGTGAACTAACCTAGTGAACTCCAGCATTGTCAGAGTTCACTCAGAAACAATTACTTGAAGATATATAACTTTGTACAGAAGAAATGCTGGGAAACACAAAACTATCTGACCTAATTGATAGAAGACAAATCCATCACAACCCTGCATCTCTTTCAATGGACTAACTTAGGGCAGTGGTGGCAAACTTAAGGCACACATGCCACAGCAGACTATTTGTATCACTGAAAATTCTCAAGGTTCACTATCACTGACTTGACCAAGGAAGCATGGAATTAGAATTCTTGAACACACTTGAGTATAAGACACTAACCAAAAAACTGGAGGTGGAAAATGTAAAACCAAGAGGTCTAAGTACTAATTTCTTCCACTTAATGAAAAGACTATCTTAAGTTGATAGATCAGAAATAGAGGCTTGAGTATATTATATATAAATACTACAAGATCTAAAAACTTATAAACTTCCCAAGTTATCAGAGTAAAATATGAAACAGACCAAAGAAACAGATTGTAAGGCAAAATAAAACAAGATAACCTAAAAAGCTTAAGAGATTTTATTTTATCAATATGTATACATGAGATAAGCTCTTCTATAAAAAAAAAAAAAATGCTAGGCTGGGGGTGTGGCTCAGTGGTAAAGTATTTGCCTAGCATTCCTGAGGCCCTGGGTCTGGTCCCCAGCACTGTACAACACACACACACACAAAAGAAAGAAAATTCCCCTTAGTTTGGATTTAAAACATCCTAAATTTGTGATGTCTAAAAGAAATTCATCTAAAAAATACTCAAAAAGATGGAAGTAAAATGATGAACCATGAAAAAAGGAACAATATGGGCTGGGGATTTAGCTCAGTGGCAGAGTGCCTTCCTAGCAAGCGTGAGGTCCTGAGTTGTTCGATTTCCAATACCAAAAAAAAAAAAAAAGAAAAGAAAATGGAACAATAATATAAACCTTTAAGTTACACCTGGGGAGTTATTTAATAAGGAATGTGAGCCATCATTAAAATATGATGGCTATGAATATTACTTGTATCAAGTAAAAAAGACATCAAAGCACAAAAGTGGAAAAAGTTCAAGCAGAAACAGTTAACAAAGGTACTTGTCTCTCAAAACATGGAAGATCACAAAAAGTCAGGAATGGAGAAGCTGTACTTAGTAAAGTCAAAATAGTTAAGTCAAACTATACAGTGAATACAGAAAACAGTTTCAAGGGCCCAAGAAACTCACAAAAAATGAACATGTATTAGTTCATAGAGAAAACCTCAATAAATTACCAAGGTAATAGTATGAACCTAAGTAGAAACTACCTAGATTTTAGAAATTTATCTTAATAACCCTTTGAATGAATTTAATACTGCCATTGCAGTATATAATAAAAAGATAAGAAAATCATTTTGCTGGAATAATTTACATAAAAAATTTTGCTAAGAGAAAAATTCACTGTCTTAGGCACTTACTGTGCAATTAGAAATGTAAATGTGAAGCTGGGGATTTAGCTCAGCGGCATAAGCGCCTGCCTTGCAAGCAGGCAGTCGTGAGTTCGATCCCTGGTACTGATAAAAACGAAAAAGACAAAAAAAAAAAAAAAAAAAAAGAAATGTAAATGAATTAGGTAAGCATTCAATTTAATAAATACGAAAAGAACTGTAAGATAGTTAAGTAGCTGGGCATGAAGGCACACCTGTAATCCCAGCACTCAGTAGGCTGAGGCAGGAGAATCACTGCGAATTTGAGGTCAGCCTGGGTTGCAGAGTAAGTTCAAGGCTAGCCTAAACTACATAGCAAAACCCTGTCTCAAAAATAATACAGTCAAGAAATAATGAAGTGATAAAGATGTAAGCAGAAAAACGATAAATTAGGGAAAAGCAAAGTAGATCTGTTAAATCCAAGTGTTCTTTGAAGGAAAAAAGATTAAACAGTGGGAAGAAGCACCTGTAGACAAAATTAGCTGTCAGATTGGGCAATAACAACTGTTAGAGAAAATTAAAACAGCTTTAGGTGTTTCTTAATCATCTCTGCAAAACAAAATTTCAAAAATCTCAGTACTAAAAAAAAAAAAATTAACTGCAGAGGCGATAGGAAAAAATTCTAAGTAGGTCAGTAATTACAATGGGAAAAATAAGAAAGAAGCTAACTAGGCCAATAATTACAATGGGGAAATTTTAAAAAAAAATTAGGCCAGTAATTTCAATGGAAAAATAAAGAAAATTGATGAAGAATTCCCCCACAGAATTCTTTCAAATCTTGAATGAAAATATGTTCTTTTAAATTCCAAATTAAGCCAGATGTGGTGGCACACACCTGTAGTGCCAGCACATGGGAGGCTGAGGCAAACAGATCACCATAAGTTTGAGACTAGCCTGAACTACACAGCAAGACTGTCTCAAAAAATATCCACTTTAGCATAACGTTCCAGATAGCATGGAGAAGGAAATTTAATATTTTTTTCAGTATTAGGAGTTGAATCCAGGGCCATCAAACTGAACTATACCCTGAGGCTTATTTTATTTTAATCAATTTTTTGAGAGAAGATCTTAGTAATTCTCTAGGATACCTAGGCAGAGCTCAAACTTTTGATCCTCCTTCCTTTGCCTCCCAGAGTGCTGAGATTACATAACTGTGGTATCGTGCCTACATAAGATTTTTTTTAAAGTCAGTATGACACTGATATATCCATCTTTCATTTTAAAGCACAAAAAACCTGCACATACATGGTATAGCTCAAAATAAGTATAGCTTAATATTGGGAAATACGTTTGAATGTGGTAAATGTTTGCCGTTAGGCGAACTGTTTTCAGTTATAGAAAAACAATCTCAGAATATGAGGCAGTATTTAACAAACTTAAAAATCCATTGATGGTTTTGAATAAATCATTAGGAGAGGTAGGGATACTCGGGTATTTCATAATGGTGTAACATTTAACAGATTTCTTATAAAGGTTAAGATAAAGAACTCCACTCTCAGCTACTAACGATATTAAATGTTGGTCTGTAAACATGGGTCAGTGCAATTAAATAAGAAAAAATAAAGACATGTAATTATTTAAAAGGTATAGGCCTTTTTTTTCAGATACTCATATAAGCTGGGTTGGAGGGTGAAATACAGAAAATTTGAGTCAAAATACCAGATGTGAAATCAATATTCAGTCGACAACCAGCTAGGTGGCGCATAGAGCGGGTTAGCTCAAGCACGGCAAGCACGAGGGCACGAGGGTATAGGCGTGAGTGAATACCTGTCCCTCACGCACTCCGCTGGGTGGCAGAAAGTGCTTGAGTGGGGTGCCGCAGCGCATGCGTGTGGTGCCCAGGCTCGTGCCTGAAGTATCCAGGCGCATGCGCTCAGTGCTCCCAGAAGCACGGGCTCTTGCGTCCCTTTCGCCCACAGCTTGGTAGAGCTCGAGCACTCGCGAAGCGCCGGCCTTCTGAAGCCGCCGCTTTTGTGTGGAGTTTGAGCTTTTCTTTCCTCAGCCTTTCTTCTCAAATGCCTTCTGACCACCTAAAGCTGCCGGAGGTCGAGACTCCTGCAGAGGTGTCAGTCATGGCCTCAGAGGACATTATTTACCTCACCACAGATCTGGAGTTGCCTGCAGAATTCGTGGAGCTTCAGCAGGTAGAAGTGGAGGCTACTCCTGCGAACGCCCGGGAGGTGCAAAGCATGTCGTTCCCAGATACCGCCAACAGCTGGGTCCATGGCGGTTACGACGACGCGCCTCTAATTGCGCTGCAGCCGGTCGTCACCAATAACACGAGCTGTGGTGACCATGACCAGGAATTCATCATGGTACAAACCCAAGAGGAGGTGGTGGACTATTTGGACTTAAACCACCAGCTAGTCAGCAGTGATTTCAAGCCCGAGGAAATGTTCTCATTCGACGCTGTGGAGGACTTTTTCCAGTCAACTCCCGCCTCTCTGCCATCTTCGGCCACATCATCGTCCTCAGATCGCGGCACAAAAGACAGCAACGGCGACGGCGACGGCGAGGTGAAGTTGGGAGACAAGGATAGCGGCAGCGAGGCCGCAGGGGGCGGCAGCAGCTCCGAGTTGAGCATCGAGAACTGGGAGCAGAGGCTGCTTCAGAGCCAACCCCTGGAGGACATGTTCCCCGGCATCTTGACCTCGAGTGAGGAAAGAGCCCTCGACGCGGAGCTTCTCGCCGAGAACGCGAACGAAAACTCGCCTCCGGATTATTCTGAATACATGACGGGGAAAAAAATTCCCCCTGAAGGAATTCCCGGCATTGACCTCTCCGATCCCAAACAGTTGGCCGAATTCACCAGAGTGAAGCGCAAAAGAGGCAAGGATGATGTTCCCAGGACTGTCGCTTGCCGCCAAGAAGGCTGCAAAAAGATGTTCAAGGACAGCTGCGCCATGAGGAAGCATCTGCACACCCATGGCCCCAGAGTCCACATCTGCTCCGAATGCGGCAAAGCTTTTCTGGAGAACTCAAAACTGAAACGACACCAGTTGGTTCACACCGGAGAGAGGCCCTTCCAGTGCAAGTTTGAAGGCTGCGGGAAATCCTTTTCCCTAGGTTTCAATTTGCGCACTCATATGCGAATTCACACTGGAGACCGACCTTTCGTGTGTCCTTTCACTGGCTGTAATAGAAGGTTTGCACAGTCAACTAACCTGAAGTCCCATATCTTAGCCCATGCTAAGAACAAGAACAGCCAGTAAAAAGGGAAGGCCCTTCTCAAACTCGAGAAGGATATTCCACTAGTGTGCCTGGGAATAATTATGCCTCTTGTTTGTATATTGTTTTGTTTACTAGTTCTTGTTTGTGATACATAATGATTCATAAGCGGTTTTTCATAAGTTTGTACATGTAAATAGTTCTTGTCACCATTCCTTCCCATCTCCATCTCGTTCCTCTTCCCATTTGAAAAAGATCTCTCTATGCAAACTTAATGCTTGCATATTGTTTCTAAGAAAAAATTTTAATGAATCTTATATTTCTAACGGTTGTGTTGTGCTAGAACAGTTAAAAAGAGTTTTAAAATAAGCCTTTGTGTAAGACAATAGTGTTAAGATGCCATTTCTTGTTGTATAATAGTGTTTTATGAATTTAGGTAGATAATGGGACTTTTTACATTCTTATAAATGTGAAGTTCACTTGTTTACCATTTTTAAAGCACTTGTATTTTCCCATTTGATCGCCAGCACTCCAAAAAATAGCCTTTTACAAATGTTCACATTTATAGTTTTAAACTTTTAGGAATATGCTTAGCAATTATATATGTGATCTTTTGGAAGTGGATTTGTTTTAAAAAGAACTGTTATACGCAAACATTTTCCTTCTGAAGAAAAGTTATATAGGCTTTATATAATGTTTAATTTTGGCTGTATTGTTTAATATTAACACATTTTACATAATTATCTGTTAGTTGTATTAAAGCATGCAGTATTGACCATTAGATTATTTAATCATCAGTTTAAACCTATTTTGGTCATTTTCTAAAAAATACTCCTAGAGGTTATTGAGTGTAATTTATTTGCCTATTAAGAGACTAGTTTCAGAATGTATTGCATATATATGACTGTTTCATACATTTTGTGTAGTGGATAAAGCAAAACAAGAGGCTGTTTTAAAGAAGTAGCTCTGAAGCTGGGGATATAATTTAGTGATACTGCAGTTGTGTGCATGTGCAGGTTTCTGGATTTGATCCTCAGCACAACTCCTAAAAGCTTACTTATATACATACACTAGTGATACAGGAAAGGAAGAGAGCATTACTGGCATCTGGTGAGTAAAGAAGAGTGCTAAACATCCCATAGTGCACAGGCCAGTCCTCTACAGTGCAGAATTATCTGGCCAAAATGCTGGTAATGTCAGTGTTAAGAAGGCCTCCTCTCGGGGGCTAGGGATTTAGCTCAGGGGCATAAGTGCCTGCCTTGCAAGCAGGCAGTCGTGAGTTCCATCCCCGGTACCAAGAAAAAAGAAAAAAGTCCTCCTCCTCTAGGCATGGTGATGCATGCCTGTAATCCCAGCACTTGGGAGGCTAAGGCTAGAGGATGGCTTGGAGTTCAAGGCCAGCCTGGACTATATAAGGAGTTCAAGGCCAGCCTGGACTGAGACTTTGTCTCAAAAAGAAAAAAAAGCCGGATGTGGTGGCGCACACCTGTAATCCCAGCACTTGGGAGGCTGAGGCAGGAGGATCACCACAAGTTCAAGGCCAGCTTGGGCTACATAGCTAGTTCAAGGCCAGCCTGAACTACTATATCGTGAAACCCTGTCTCCAAAGGAAAAAAAAAAGAAGAAGAAAAGTAAAAAAGGCCTCCTCTAGGGGAAGTAAAAACATCGCAGAGGTATATTTATAAATACATCGTAATGGACAGTAAGTTATTTAGATGAAGCTAATGTGGGAGCTCCACAATCCACATTACCACTTAACCTTCATGGTCAGGTTCACAGTGTAGGCCAGTGATCTGGTATCAGCTGTCTGCCTGGTGAGAAATAGGATACTGCTTAGAGAGCCAAGGAGCCAACACTCCTGTTTTCCCTCGCCTTTGTTCTCTTTGTTCTTTGTTCTTGCCTTGTTCTGTGATTAGCACCTGGGGGTGGGGGTGGGGGATAGAAATTAGGAAGTAGTCTTCTGAATTAGTTTCATAGAATATATCTTAATGCATGTTAAGTTGAGTGAGTGAAATTTTAGAATTTGAATTGTGTTAAACTGTGAAAACAATTTTGCATATAAATCTTTATCTTAAAATGAGAAAATCTTGCTACAAAAGAGTCATTTGACATGAAAATTTTAAATGCCATATAGGTAAAATAAGCCAAACAAATTTAGGGAAGAAAGTTATAATATTAGTTACAAAGGACCAAATACCTCAATGCATATAAATGAATAATATGTGCCAATTAGTTTTTGGTTTTTTTTTTTAAAGGATAGCCATGCTGGTGATGCATGCCTAATTCCAGCACTTAGGAGGCAGAAGCAGGAGGATGGCCACAAATTAGAGGCTGCATAATGATTTCAAGGCCAGCTGGTACTACGTAGAAAATTTAAAGGCTGCCAGGACTACGTGTGAGACTTTCTCTTGTGAGTTAGGTCAGGTTAGCTATATAGTGAGAAAGACTGTCTCAACATGGATTTGAGGCCATCCTGGAATACTTAATGAACTTAAGGGCAGCCTGAACTACATTGTTAAAAAAAAACAGGCTAGCCAAAAAATTACCAGATATAAAAAGGCAATTTGATAGAAATTAGTGACTTTTGGACGAGAAATACAAATAACCTTATAAAATGTGCAGACTAAGTAAATAACTAGAAGTCAAGACAATGGAATTTCACTTTTCACCCCCACAAACTGTCAAATTCAGTATTTTTTCGGAGAAAGGAAAACATGAATTACAAGAACACAATGTAAATTTATGGGAGATCAACATTAATGCACTTGCTTTTTCGACCCAATAATTCGATTTCTAGGTAAAATTCACTTTCAGATTCATAGTTAAATAGATCTATAACAGTAAAAGGAAATCTGTTTATTCCAAAGTAAACTAATTGATCATTAATAAGGAACCAAATCAACTGATATATTTATGTGATGGATTACGGTGTAGCAAATATATGAAATGGAATTGATATGACTGTACATATATGGAAAAATGTTTAAAATATGGCATAATAAATTAATTCCTTTGGTGTTTAAAAAAGATATATTTGTGTATAATAGAAAAGATTATTTTCCCACTAAGTCCTGAACCATTTTACTTTGGATATTTCTGTTATTTAACAACGTGGCATACTTTAAAAATTTTTTCTTAGAATGTGACATGGAAATTTTTCTTAGAACAGTACATGGAACATGTGTTAGCCAGGTATCTAACTAGTCTAATAACTAAACATAAAAGTGGCCTCAAAACATTTCAAATTTCAATGTTGATAATTCTGTGATTTGGGAGGTTTTGGGCACTCTGTTGTTAGTTTAGCTACTGCTAGCATGCAGCTTCTGTGATACATCTCAAGTCTAGCTCCATCATAATCACTGGGTTCCACACATAGGGCAGGGTGATCCATATTGTTTCCACTCAAATCTCATAGTGCTTCCACATGCAAAATCCTGCTATATAAAAAAGGAAAGACTAGGGATGGGAGGAGGGATTAGCTGGTGGCATCCTAGTGAAGGTTTCAGCACCTGGCTCTAGAAGGCATAGTGAGCAGGTACGTTACTAGCATTTTCTGGATCTAGTTTCTCTAGTATGAATATTCCCATTGTGACCAATTTCAAGCTGTAACCCACAGTTCGAGATATTAGGAGGAGACATACTATTTTGGCACTGGAAAGCTGATAGCAGGTTGCAGCACACCTCTGAATTCATATTACCAACTCTGCCACAGGATAGAATATAATTAAGAGGAAAAAATGTTCACCATCTAAAACAGGGTTTTGTGCATCTCAGTGGTAAAGTGTTTGCCTAACATGCACAAGGCCTTGATTTCCATTCCCACCTCCACACACACACACAAAAATATGTTTACTGGCTAGGGATATACCTCAGTGATCATAGAGCATGTTTGAGGCCCTGGTTGGATCCCTAGCAACACACATATATCAAAAAAAAAGTATGCACTTCTATCTTGAAAAGCCTTTTATTATGTGTTTCTGCATGCATTTCCAGATATGTGCATACATGAAACATACTATGCCTTTTCTTCAGTAACTGAATTTTTTAAAAGAACTAATTTAAGATAATCATGTTAAAAACCCTTTAAATCTGTTTTTAAATATCTTTAAAGATATTAGAAAACTTGCCATCTTGTACTCTAAAATAATGTAGATATACTTATTTTTGCTGCTGTGGGCAGAGAAAGTTTCTGGAGGGATAAACAAAAAATAACAGATTTAATATGAGTTGTGGGGCTGGTAGTTAAAAAGTGGTATTTAGGAAAGATCACTTTTACTTTTTATTACTCCTATATTGTGGATTTTTTTGTCAGTGTGTACTACTTAGTAATTTTTTTCAAGCTACTTAAATTTTTAAGATTTTCTCAAGTTTTGATTAAAAATGTAGTAAGTGGAGCTGGATGTGGTGGAACACATCTGTAATCCTATACTCTGCTGCAGGATAGAATATAATTGTTAAGAGGGAAAAAATGTTCTCCGTCTAAAACAGGGCTTTGTGCATCTCAGTGGACAAATTGCAAGTTAAAGCCCAGCATGGGAAAATTTAGTGAGATCCTGTCTCAAAATAAAAAAGAAAAATTAAAATGCCAGGGATGTAACTTAGTGTGAAGACTTCTGGTTCAATCCCCAGTATGTACGATCATCACCATCAAAATGTAGTGGGAATTTCTTCCTACTTTTATTGTTGGAATTAGCACTTAAGGTCTAAAATTAGTACCAAAGAAAGTTGTATGTCCCTACCAGTGATTGGGTCTACACATACCACCTAAGCACTGTTTAATTGGCATAGAATGAACTGCCCTAGTTCTATTTTCAGATCTCACCTAGCCCATCACCCCCTGCCCTGGTATGATCATCAGCCATACAGAGAAAATTTAGGAGTGTATCATTTCTACTTCTAAAATGTCCTCCCACTTCCACATTTAAAAGACCAGGGTATGGTGGCACATGCCCGAAATCCCAGCACTCAGGAGGCCAAGGCAGAAAGATCACCTTGAGTTTGAGGCCAGCCTGAACTGAGTAATGAGACCCCATCTCAAAAAACTTAAAAATAGCCAAGTGTGGTGGTGCAGGCCTGTAATCCCCTTGAAGGCTGAGACAGCAGGATCCTTGCAAGTTGGAGGTACATAGTGCCTGGGGTACATAGTGAGTTCAAGGCCAAGTCTATGCTACATAGTGAGACTCTGTCTGGGAAAAAAAAAAAGAGAAAAAAACCTGAAAAAAAGTACAGGAATTCATTTTTTAGTCTTTAAGGAATATAAAGAGTTATATATGTAATTGTTTGTTTTTTAAGCAATGAAATACATACTAATTTTGAAAAAGAAAATCCATTAGTCATTTATGTGACATTTGGTGAAGAAAAAAGATGAGTGATACTTCATGGTCATACTGTAAATGAAAGTACTTAAATTTTGAATGAAAGTATAAACAATTTTTAGAGGCTGAAGATATAGTTTAGAAGTATAGCACTTGCCCAGCATGTGTGAGGCCCAAAGATCCATTCCTATCACAGCAAAAAAAAAAAAAAAAAAAAGCATTTTGTTTTGTTTTGTTTTTTTGTCTTTAAAGAGACAGGCTTTTTGCAATGCAATGCAGGCTGCCTTGAACTCACATTGTAGCCCAGTCTGGCCACCACACCCAGCAATAAAATAAAGGATATTTATACACTCTCCCTCCATCCACTTGACTTTTTCATGTAACTGTGTAACTTAAAGATGGTTCTATGTCAGTACACATAGGTTGGGCTCATTACTTTCTATCTACATACTATTCGGCGGGTAGGAGGCATATCTTTCTTTTTCGTTTTCTTTTTTTTTTTTTTTTTTTTTTTTGGTGCAGGAATCGAACTCATGACCTCATATTTGCCAGGCAGGTGCTGTGCCCTAAGCTATATTGTCAGCCCTAAAATAATTTTTAAAAGGGAGATTACACTACCTGGTATGTAGTCCCAAGTGGAGTGTATATTCTCAGGTTGGAAGTCTCCCTCAATGAGAGAGTTCTTGCCTAGCGTGCATGAGGCTTGGATTTGATCCCCAAACAAAAATTTTTCTTTGTTTCTTGAAACAGGGACTCAAAGGCTGGCCTTCAGCATACTATGAAGTAAAGGCTGGCCACAGGCTCACAGTGATCTTCCTGCCTCAGCCTCCTGTATGCTGAAGTTATAGGGGTATGGCACTATGCCCAGCTCAAAAATACTTTTTAGAAGAGGAACTCAATAGTACGTGCTATCCAATCACAAGTAAAGTGTAAATTCTTCATTTAGGGATGTAATTCAGTGGTAGAGCAGTAGCCTTACATGTGTGCAGATGTGAGGCTCTGGGTTCTAGCCCCAGCGCGCTTGCACATGCACACACACACACACACACACACACACCACAAACCCACAAGCTATCCTTTATTGCCAAAAATCTCTAAATGGTGAAGGTAACATTCAACCATTCTGGCTCTATACTTAAGTTTTTGAAATCCTTCTTAAACATTGAAAACTCTTTTCTTACTTATATCACCTAGTTGCAAGTTTACTAAAGGGTAAAAAGCAAAAATATTAGTGACTAGAAATGATGCTAATGATGTAATTATAGTAAGCTATAGCCTTACCAAAATGATTATTTATATTCTTTCAGATATAATTACTGTGAGCCTAAAAATAATGTAATAAATTATTATTATACCTATTAAGTCAGCTGGTGACCAGAGTATTACTTCTGTGTGTTGAATCACACGTACTCACATTTTTCCACTCTTGCCCAAGTCATACTGCTCGAAATGTAAGCCAGAATAAAATTTGGACCTCAATTCCATCTAAGCCCTGCTGTTGTTTGGCTGATCTTTTATTAAAATTGTAAAGCAATAGATGTCATGCCATCACCACTATTAAACATTTGAAATTTCTAGCCACTGTAAGACCAAAAGGAGGAAGGGGAGGAGATATAAATTTTGGAGTTGACAAATGATCATTAGCAAATAATGGAAAATCCAAGGGAATCTAAAGTTTAAGAAATCCTAAATGAAAACTTCATTTGGCTGTTGATTGTGAAGTAAATGTACAAAAAATAAATGTAATATTCCTGTATATCTAAAATACCCAATAGTGTCATGGAAAGAAAAACAAATTACCATTCAGAAATAAGTGTGACATATAAAACATCAGAAGTTAACATTTTTTCAAGAAATATATGGGCCTATGTAGAGAAAACTACCAGTCTTTATTGATAGATGTAGAGATGCCATGATTCTATGTCAGAAATGTAAAATTATGGATTCACCCTTAGTTATTGTAGTGACATTAGAAATTTTACTTTGAATAATATTTGGTGGTTGTCAGAATGATTCACAAATTCCTTAGAAATAATGAAGGGGAAGTAACCAAAGTAAACAAAAGAAAAGTTTTTTCTTAACTAAATACTGAACTATTACTGCCAGTAATTACAGCTGCTTTACTTGTCACTGGAATAATATTACCAGTAAAAAACAAAGCAGAGCAAGCCATTATTAAATGTAGTACTGTTGTTTAAAAGGTAGTGTTGAATTTAGTGGGAAAAGAATGCAATGCTAAACATTTGAATAAAATTAGTTACATTTATAAATCACACCATACAGAAAAATAAATCCCAAACTGGAAATAAATGTAAAACTTTACGACCATCCTTCTCCATAGAAAAAATCATATAATTTTAGGAATAGGAGAGTCTTCCTAAGTATAGCTACAAAGGTTGAATATATGATGAAAAAGATCAGTGGATTTCACGGTGTCAATTTCTATCTTTTTCTAAAAGACCCAGTATCTGTATGGTTTCTTGCTTTATATTCTACAACATGCTACATAACTATTTGTTCTACCAGTACTACTATACGTAATAGTTTTGATTTGTAAAATTAAAGTGACTTCTTTTTTCAAGTGACATTTTGGATTCTATATCCCAGTTCAGCAAGAATTGATTTTTAATTTCATCTTAACTTTTATTTGAATATATTTAGCTCCATTGTATTTAACTACTTTTTTGCTTTCTTTTCAGGTATCTGGCACAATTTTGTCCTTGCCCTCTTGGGTGTTTTAGCTCTTATTCTCCTCCCAGTAATTCTCTTGCCATTTTATTACACCGGAGTGGGAGTACTTATCACTGAAGTTGCTGAGGTAAATAATGTATTACTTAGGGCATTTTTGACCTGATGTTTTGATGTAATACTTAGCATTTAATGTCAGGTACTTCCATTCAAGCTTTTCCCATACACAGAATGCTGTTACTTCTGAAGAAATTACTGTAATCTTTTTAAATCTAAATATAATGTCGCGCCAAACATGGTGGCGTATGCCTCTAATCCGAGCACTCAGAAGGCTGAGGCAAGAGGATCCCTGCAAGTTCAAGGCCAGCCTAAACTACATGGTGAGACCATGTTTTAAAAAAAGAAAAAGAAGATATCTTAGAAGTAAAATGAAACTTCACCTGTCCAGCTAGAACATTTCTTAAAGAGTTTAAGCTACTGTACTCAATTCTATTTCATTCCCTTAGACAATAACTATTATGATGGCATCAAATCTTCTATTCAGACATTCTGAAAAGGAATATTGCCTTTGTGAGAAATTGGCTTACATAGTTATTGCACTGAGGGTATGCCCTGCATATTTGGAACTTTTTTAATATAAGGACTGTCTTCTAATTAATTGTACCCACTGAAAGTTTCCTCCAAACTTTTAATTAAAAGTTTGAGAAAAAATTACCTTTTTTTTTTTTCTTTTTTGCTGCTGGGATTTAAAACCAGAGGCATACATATGCTAAGCATGTGCTACACCCCAGCAACAGTCAACAAGGAGATTGTTTTTGTTTTTGTTTTTTGTTTTTTTTGAGACAGTGTCTCACTATGTAGTGCAGGCTGGCCTTGAACTCACTTATGTAGTTCAGGCTGGCCTCAGACTCATGGTGATCCTCCTGCTTCAGCTTCCCAAGGGCTGTGATTATAGGGATGTGCCACCAGATATTTGTTTTTAATTGTGAAAAATAAAAAAAAAAAATCTTTGGAAAATTGGGGAAAGCAACTAAAATTGCTAAGTTTTAGCTTGCTAATTTTCTGGGACTATGGCTCTTAGATTAAAAGCTGAATTATTTTCCACATTATTCAGTATGTTCTACTCTACTGACTCTGTGTCTTTTACTATTATTTGTTCAGATTAATCTTAGCTTCTCTTCATGCCTTGTCTGATTTGATTTTGCCTTTTTTCTAAGGACTCACCTGCTGTTGGACCCAGAGGCCTTTTTGTGGGAGACCTTGTCACTCATCTACAGGATTGTCCCGTTACTAATGTACAAGATTGGAATGAATGTCTAGATGCCATTGCCTATGAGCCCCAGGTTGGCTACTGTATAAGTGCATCAACTTTACAACAGCTAAGCTTCCCAGTTAGAGGTATGTTATTTCTTCAGTATAATTTAATGCTTTAAGCATTAATACCTTCCATTCACTAATCCTTAGATCATATCTATGGCTTCATTTTGTTCGTCTCCTTTTTTGTGGTTTTTTGAGACAAGATCTTGCTATGCAGTTCTGTCTTGCCTTGAGCTCACTTTGTAGCCCAGGCTGGTCTCAAATTTGCAGTTATCCTCCTGCCTCAGCCTCCTGAGTGCTGCGATTACAGGCATGAGCCACCACGCCCGACTATGTTCCAGTCTTGTTAAAGAAATTCCAGTCCTTTTAAAGCAATTCAGTAAAAGGAATAAGCCCAAACAAATAGATAATCTTTTTGGCAAGTTAGATACTAAATATGTTTGTTTGCTCTATTGTATATAATCGTTGAACTTCTACCAACTTTTATAGTATCATATTTGACTCTCAGGATTCTATTGTGTAATTTTCTGCTTAAAAGAAAACTTTGTGTGGAATCAGCATTCAAACTCAACCTAATTAATTTTAATCAATACCCGCAATATGATATTTATTTTTATGTATGCATGTAATATAGAATAGTATCTTAATTTATATATCTGTGCAGTTTTATAAAATTAATGTGAATAACATTAAGTGCTTCTCCTTTGCATAAGCTTTTTGGTTTTTGATGCTGTGCATGAAACCTAGAGCATTGTGTATACAAGCCACACACTATACTGCTAAGCTAATCCCCCAGCTCCCTGCATAAGCATTTGTCAGCACAGACAAATAACTGATAGTTAAAACTGAATACAGAAAACCGAAGTATAAGCATTCTATATTAATATATTGTTAGCACAGGTATGTAGTAAGGAACAATTAAAAGAAATAAAAGAAAATTGGCAAACAGATAGAAGCTGACATTTAGAAAAGATTTTCTTCTGGCTGAAACATAGTAAATGTCAACAGTTCTGGTCATACCTATGTGTGCTTGATGGCATGTCTAAACCTATTTAGGGTAGAGTTTTCTATGCCTTTTATATGGCAGAAACCAAAGAAAGTTATCTTGGCTTCCAGAAATACCCTATAGAGGTAGATATGTTGCCCTGAGCAAGTGTCTGAAGCAAGTAGCTGAAGCAAGTGTCTTCTTAGAACCTGCTGAACATTTTGGGTTGTTTGAGCTTTGAAACATAAGCCTCTACATTATGGTAACCATTGTTGATAACCTTGTACTCTGTTTTTACATCATGTGCTATGTCTATGCTTGGTTTTGACTGACAGATTTGTTTTGCCATATTTGACTTTATTCTCTTCCAAAAAAAAAAAAAAAGTAATAAGAACTAAGGAGTAATAAAACCCAAAATGTGTAAATTGTGTTGTAAAAAAAGAGAGGGAAAAAAAGTGCTCTAAAGGATACAACTGCAAGTGTGTTTAGGGGTGTGAAATAGATGACCATATTAATGGTTTTGGTTGGATCATTGAACACAACTGTTTGCGGTCTTGCTGTTTTAATGTCCACTTTGCATGCTTTGATACTGTGACTTGAGCAACTATCTCTAAGATGATAATGTGTAATCTATTAACTGGTGATTTCTTACTGTGTTTTTTTTTTTTTTTTTGTAGTTCTGTATTACTTGTACCCTTACACTGTTTTGTTTTGTTTTGTTTTTTCTCTTTTTCCTCTTAAATAAAATTAAAAAAAAAAAAAAAAGAAAAAGAAGCCTCTCTACTGTTTGTACAAATCTGAAGACCCAAATTTTTGAAAGTGTTGGAAATACAAATTATCCTCACAGCCTATTTTGGTTTTTTTTTGTTTTTTTTTGTTTTTTTTGGTATCAGGAATTGAACTCAGGACCTTGCACTTGCCAGGCAAGCGCTTATGTCACTGAGCTATATCGCCAGACAACAGCACATATCTTTAAGTCAAGAAATGCCCTATACCCTTGTCTGCATCTACTGGTATAAGCATATTAATTAATCAGGAATGATTTTACTGCTGTGCACAGTGGTACACATTTGTAATTGCACCTACTTAGGCTGCTGAGGA